CTAATTAAAAAACAAAAACCCTCCCACACTGTTACTTTGTTGAATCAGGACAATTTAGAAATCCAGGGCCCAAACCTGCAGTCCTTACTCAGGGCCTACGCAAAAATAGGCCTATTTTGTTTCCCAGATAAGATCGTTCATGGAGTATGGTGCTATTTGCTGTTGGGAAGGTTGGCAGAATCTTTCCCTCAGTGAAAATATCCCACTGGGATAAGTGGTAGTTTTGTCTGGGTAAGGACTTCAGGATCAGGCTACAAGTCCTGACCTGTTAATCTCAATGACTCCTATATGAACTGAACCTCCTGTGTTCTGGTGAATTAAAGGCAAAGCATATTTAAAGATTTAATATACAAATCAACCAGCTCCCCTCCTCCATTCACAGTCTCAGCACTTAGCCATGTTTTAAAGTTACTAGCACTTAGCTAATCTATTTTGCCATCAATTTAAAGGTCACCACATGCAGTATGGCCACTTGATACTATCTTTGATGCATTTTTATGTTAATTTTACTATTATTCTGTATTTGGAATGTATTTTTTCCTCTAATTTCTTGTATGTGTACCAATAATTAAAATATTAATTTACTTGATATTTTTACTGCCTAGCTGAAACTACTTTTTGCTTGTTTTCCTCTTTCCATGACAGTTTCATCTTGAAATACAGGTCCCAAGTCAACACTGTGCTACTTCAATTGAACCCAAGCAGAACTCCAGTCGATGGTCCAGATCTTCAGCTAATGTACAGTGTGTAGTTCTATCCAATGGAGCTATGCCATTCTACTCCAGCTGAGGATTTGACCCAGTATTTTTTAGCCATATTTGATGCAGTGAAATAGAAAGGATGGTTAATGAGGCCAAACTAGCTATCACCTATGAAAATGCCACATTTAGGGGAACCATTTTTTTTGTACAATACAGCCTCAATATTGCAATGACTTATGTTTGTAAACTTAAAGCGTGCAAGCCCCATTTGCTTCCAGGGGACTACTCAGATGCTTAAAAAGTTAAGCACATACATAACTCTTTGCAGGATCAAGGCCTAAAGACTTCCACATTAACCCAAGTGAAAATTCCATGTCAATTTGGGAAAAAGCAGAAAAAAATTAACACTGAGATTTCTTCTCTTCTTCAAATCTCTTTTAAGCAAAAGAAATCCTGTGAGCACCCTTCCAACGTCCTCCCTCCCTCAAATAAAGTGACCCATCATTTGGGAATGAACCACTGTCACATAGGAACTTTGCTGCATTGTTTCCAAAGTAGCTGTCACATCATTTAGCATCATCAGAAGGTGCCATGCCTTTTCATTTGCAAACTGTTTTAAATATTTCCAGCCCCACTGGGATGGTATGTCCCCTTTCAGCTGGGCTCCCTTCCCACTCACCGGCACACTCCAGGTGGCACATGGAATGTAAAATACTCTAAACCTGCAAAGAAAGTTGGAGCACATGGCCGGTCAGCATCGTGTTTATCTCGCAACAATTTCCTGGAAAGATTAATGCTAAACTGGAAGAATGGGCACAAAATCAATTCAAGCAGTTCATAGGTATTATAATTCTTAATCTGGCTTTAGCCATACCAGCAGCAGCAACGGTAGGTAGCTGCATATAATGAGATTAAAATGCCAGTGACTGAAGCCATCATGTTTTTTTATTAGTTCTTAGGGCTTGATCACACAAACACTGAAGCCAACCCAGGAGTAGTTTCATTGAAATCTGTGGGACTCTTCCCATGAATAGAGTTATACATGGGTTATACTATTTGCAGGAGCAGACCTTTAGATAATAATCTTTCTTTGATTCCCATTTGTCAGCTCAACAGTGATGATGGGGCCAAATGAAGCCTTTCCACCACTTTCTATCTTGTATCAGCTTCACAGCTGTGTTCATCTTTAAACCTTTCCTGGGTCTCAATAAATATTGTTTATTACTATCTGGCCTTTTTGTTAGGTAATAATAAACAACGTTATAATATATTACAGAGAGGAAGGACGGGTCTTCTCTGAGTTGTCCCTATGAGCGCCCGTGCACTCTGGATTGGAGATATTTTGTTGCTGTTAGCAGCATCCATGGGTCCACGCCTGCACCACGCCTCCTTGTACGGCGGTCTGAGGGCATATAGGAAGAAGACGACTTGCACCATGCCAGTTCCTTCTCAACTGCCTGCGGCTCGAGACAGAAGTCTCTAAGGTCTGCTACCTTGCTGACGCAGCTCCTTCTTTTATACTCTTTTTGTTTTCCTATTAGTTTACTTTATTAGCACAGTTTATGCTTTGGGGGTCTCCCCTGCCTTTTTGTTTTGAGGTCAGAGCCCCCTTTTTTCCTTGGGACCTCTTGAGCAGCAGCTTTCCTGGTGGGTTATACCCAAGACCCAGGATTCAAGCCTTGCCAGACCTGTCACAGCTCTTTTCCCCTCAGCGATGGGCACTGTGTCTCTGATGCCTGGAGAGGTTCTGATGCCTGGAGAGGTTCACATCCTGTCCAAGTGTAAGATTTGCTCTGGCTTCAAAAGCAGAGCTTAAAAACTAAGGAAAGACCATTTAAAACTGCTCCTTATGGAGTGCTTCCCTAGACATGGAGGGTCCCTTTCTCCCCCCAGTACACTGGCCTCAGCCATGGAGAGTGCTCCAGAGATTTCATTAGCTCTGGCTCCATCTACCAGAAATCAGGGCACAGCTTTGATCTCTCAAAAGACTGTCAAACGTAGGGGATCCCACTTCCCTGATAGACAGGCTAAGTCTCTACTTACATGTGGGAGCAACAAGGAGACTTCATATCGCAAAGCAGGTACTGTTGAGACTCCTATCAGTCACAGTAGCAAGGCATCGGCACCACCAAGGAAGACTTTCATGAAGCCACGGACCAAGAAACCCACTGCCAAACAGCAAACAGTGGTCTTGTCAGTACCAGAACTGGACACTTCCACATGGAAGGACTCCTCAAAGAGCATGGACTCTTTGAAGAAATCATCTCACCTGATACCATCTACCGTCACCCAGATTTCTCCAGAGTGAGTTTATCACCAGTACCATCTCCAGTACCACTGGAGATCTTTCACCCCTAGATGCAATCCTCAGTCTCATAGTGACTTCCAGGTTCCTCCTTCATGAGGACCATCATGTCCTGGAGGAACCCGAGTGCCCCCTGCTGAGGGGTACTGGGAGGACTTTCCCACTGGCACTTGTGTACCAACTGGAACCAACATCCACTGGTACTGCTGCAGCCTCAAATAAAGACTCCACCAGTACCATCATGATTGCTGGATTGGCCCCAGATATCAATCCGAGCCCCTGGTACTGACTCCTTTAGCTTCACCACTGAACATGGAAGAGGATACTTCTTATTCAGATGTATCCATTCAAGGCTCCATCACCTACCCATTCCACCCTATATCCCTCAAGGTGTTCCCTGAGGTCAAGACCCCAGGAACCAGCCAATGGGTGGCCCATCAGCCACGGCAAGAACACCCTGGAGGCCCTACTCCTTTTCCTTACACCCTTCCCCATGGGCTTTTTGGGGACCAAGTCTACAGATTACCCTCACACAAGAGCACCCACTAAGATTCTCGGCCACCCACACTTCAGGGCCCTCCTCATCCTCCCACTAGAAGAACAGGAGCTGAGAATAGAGGAGGCGACATTACCACTCTCTTCACCCCCACATGAGGCAACCATTCTCTGCCATTCTACGCAGATGATTTCAAAGCCTTATCCTGCGGACCCACCTTCACTTCCTCGCTAAAGTTTCATCAGCATTCCATATCAATCAGGACATTCAACTAGTGGTCTTTTCCTCCAAACCTCACTCTTTGAGGGAAGAGACCAGCCTCCATACTCTGCTTGTAAGAAGAGCTCTGACTTTCTACCTACACAGGACTAAATCCTTCAGGAATTCCACCAGGCTCTTCAATTTCTCCGCCAAGAGGATGAGGGGGTCACTTTCTTTCCACCTAGATGCTATCTAAATGGGTTTCAGGTATATTCTTGCATGCTATGAGTCCTTAGGAATGCACCCCCCTCCTAAAGTCACTGCTCATTCAACTAGGGTTCAATCCCACTTCCATAGCCCTACTTAGAAAGGTACCCATCAAGGTCATTTGTAAGGCAGCCAACTGGCCCTCCGTTCACATGTTCTTTCAGCGTTATGCCTGAGTATATGTCTCCAGAGCAGCCTTTGGTGAAGCTATTTTACACTCTGTACTAAATCTGCCTCCTCAGCATCCTCCTGTTCATTGAGGTACTGCTCGGGAGGGGGAGTGTCTCCTGACTTGGAGCTCTCACAGGGACAATAACTCGAAGGAGGAGGAGAGGTTGCCTACCTTGTAAAGCAACTGGAGTTCTTTGAGATGTTTTGTCCCTATTGGAGCTCCACCATCCGCCTCCTTTCCCCTCTGCTTTTGGGTTCTACCAAGCTCTGAGGTTGAGAAGGAACTGGAGTGGCGTGGGTCCACTACTCCCTATATGCCCTCGTATTGGAGCACAAGGAAGTGTATGGTGCAGATGCAGACCCATGGACTCTACTAACAAAAAGATCTCTGCTCAGGAGTGCATGGGCACATATATATCCTCATGTGGTGCACTCATAGGGACAAAATGTCTTGAACACCAGTTACTGTACAAGATAAGTAACCTCTCCTTTTATGGTTAAGATTTTGGACTGGGCCTCAGGAGGTCTGGATGCTATTTCTGATTCAACTGCAGATTTCTTGTGTGATCTTGGGTGAGTCACAGTCTCTCTGGGCCTCAGTCCCCCATCTGTAAAATGGGGACAATAATACTTCCTTTCTTTGTCTTGTCTATTTAGACTAGAGGGTAAGCTCTTAGGGATGGGGACGATCTCTTACTGTCTGGCTGTACAGTGTCTGGCACAACAAGGCCGAGAGCTTAGCTGGGGCCTCTAAGTACTGCAGTAAAGTAACAATAACTAATGCAGATATAGCCCAGTTCTCCTCCCATTGAAATCAAAGCAGAACTCACTGACTGTGGCTCCTTTTATTTGTAAGATACATTTTCATCCAATATTGGAAATATTACCATTCACACACACTAGCATTTGGAAGCTGCCTATGTAGAAGAAAGTATTGAAACATCAAAACTGCCCTTGTACAGGCCCCACCTTTTGGCATTTGGTTTCATTGATCACTAGAGAAGATAGTGCAGTTGCTGTTTTGAGCCATGCATATCTAAGTCAAACTACACAGAAATGTTTGAATTATTCCGCATGCTGGACTGGATGAATTTGGATCCGGGTCTGCTGATTACGTGATGTGCTTTGACTTCTGAAGACTTTCAGTCACTGAGTCCAGGAGGCTTTTATCATCTTTATCTTTAAGAAAAGAGAGAGATAGAGAGAGAGTGGGGCATCATTATAACCATTGACAAGGGACTAACCATGTATCGTTTACTATGGTACTTTTGGAAAGCGCGGAGAGATTCCCCGATTAAAACACACCAGTACATAAATGCAAAATACCCTTTTGTGGTGGTGAACTCCTGAGCTATACTAACACCCCCCCAACCCCCCCCCCTCCCCTCTCCACACACACAGAAAGAGACAGACAGATTCTGGCCAATCAGCCCCCTCCCCCTGCTCCCAAAATGGAATCTCATAGCCAGAGCAGACACTGTGACCTCTCCCATTTCCACTGAAAACTCCACTGACACCTAACCCTGGATAAGGACAATTAGAGGGAGAAACCAACCCTACAGTTGGACTCTACTTTCTAAACTCTCCTTCAGACTGATTAAGCAGTTTTAATACTATTTTAATACCTGACCTCAGGAGGAAACATTCATGAGAGGATGGAGTGTGAGGTGGGAGGCCTCCAGGATCTCTCCCTTCTCCCCCAATCAGAGAGAACAGCGTTATTTAGGAGGGCTATGTTCTTGGCCACACTGACAGCTCTGAAGTCTCCTATATATTTGCAGAAGAGGTACATCATGGGCAGCAGCAGTTTGAGGTTCTCTCACACTTCCCCACCAATGTGCTTCATCATTGACCTACAGTGACAGCCCCTCTGTGGGTTGGGGGGGGGGAGGTTGGCCTCCACAGCACATTGACTCCTCTTTTCTGCTGAGTCTCCTCAGGGGGCAGCTAACTAATGTTAACAGTGATGGTGGTTTCTGCACGGAATTGTATCAGTCTCCAAAACTCTACTAAAACCAGTCGTGAGCTGCAAACAGCTTCTACTTTTCACCTAAGTGGAGCAAACGTTCTTTTCATTGTGAGGTCGGCAGTGGTCAGATTTAACTGAGGGACTGCCCCATGTGTGTATATTGTATACACACACACACACACTATATATATATATATATATATATATATATATATATATAAAAATAAATAAATCTAACTGAAAATAAAACTCTAATTTGGTATAGCAAATGGAGAGTAACAATCACTCTTCGCCATCGTGCCAGATTGAGTTACTTCTCCATTAGCAATAGAGAAGAAAGAACTGAAACTTCAGAGTGATATCATCTGCACTTGTCAGCCAGCTGTGCGAAGCAACAGTCACCTACAAAAATAACACTGAAAGATCCATCCAAATATAGCCTCTCCTTATTGGTGTATCAGTTTCTATGCCGGGAAATGTGTCTCTCAGCTTTCATTTAAGAGAGCGATGACATGCATTGAGGCATCAGGGCTTATGCTTGGAGAGAACAGAGCTCAAGAGAAAGCCACTTCAACCCCATATTAAAATAAAGGCATTTGATTCCATAGTATAACTGAGATGAAGGCCATGGGATGAAGAATTCTTCTTCTTAAATATTTCCTACTTGAGGCATCCCTTCAATTTTCTTTAATTCTCCCACGGTGATTCATAGAAGTGTCAAGCTCACCATGGAGCACCCTCCTGGGACAGTTGCCACCTGTGCTGAAATGGGACTTCAGCTGATTTTCATGGGTCTGATGTGTCCCTGTGAGGTCATCCTGCAGAGCAATTATATAGTCCCCAGATTCGGGGACCATGACACAATGATGCTGCATCTCCACGTTGTGGTGTTAGGGCCTAGTGCTACAACATCACCACATGCAAATAGAATTATTTGATCCCACAGGATAAATACAATGGGAACCCTCCCCTTCCCAGCCAAACTATCCTGCTGCAACCTAAGGTAAAAGCCCTATGGAGGTGGAGAGCATTCTCAACACCAGGGAAAACAGAGAGAAATAGCCAGGGAGCTGGGGAGAGGATTGTGCAAAAAGAGGGAAAACATTTTAAGCTTTGTGCCTTTCCCTTGAATTTTGCTCTACAACAGAAAATGAAGGTGAAACCCTGTGAAAATGGCAAGATGCCATTCTCGGAGCACATAAGCAAATTGCTCCAAGGTGGAGGTTTGCCATGTGTGCAGTGCAAATCTCCCAGAAATAGGCATATTTTGCCCTTGATCCATTGTGTGAATTCTTGAAGGAATACGATTCCATTCACCAAGCAAAAGTATGGCATTTCATACTGCTCTGCTACAGTACCTAAAAGGGGCTGATTCTGCCCTCAGTTGGCTGGATATAATTCCTATTGACTTCAGTGGCAGCTGCACCTGTTTTAACTTAAGTAGAAGTAGGCCTATTTCCAGATATGAAAATATGTTCTTCAGATTGGGCCCAGTTCTCCAGTGCCTTGCAATTTGGGAAGCCATTTACACCTATGCAAAGCAAGTGCAAAGTGGGTGTGAAACACTACCATTCTGATTTGGAAATGTTTTACATGTACTTTGCACCCGTGAAAATGCCCACACAGTGTGCAAAACATAGCAGAATCAGGCCTCTTATCTGTCCCAGTGACCTACCTACCATGTAAATTCAAATCTGGAAAATAAAAATCTTGGGCTGGATTGTGCATTTGGTTCCAGCAGAGTAAATCCAGAGTAACTCTACTGACTTCATGTGCTAAACTTTGTCACGAGCTGCCAGTCCCTGCATGGGTGCAGAAAGGTCACGTGCACCAGAACATGTGATTAAGGCCTGGTCTACATTTAAAATGTAGGGTACGAAAAACCCACACCCTGAGCGATGCAGCTATACCAACCTAACCCCCAGGGTAGACACAGTTAGGTCGGTGGAAGAATGCTTCCATCGACCTAGCTACCATTGCTCAGAGTCATAGTGTTTGTGCACGGATGGAAAAAACCACTTTCGTTGGTGTAGGATGCGTCTATGCTACAGGGGTAGGCCAGGATAGCTACAGCACCATAGGTATGCCACTGTAGTCCCCATAGTGTAAACATGGCTTTAATTTCTTTGTATGGAAACTGGCAAAATGATTTTTGCTCTTTGTCAGTTCTTTCATGAACACTGCATAGAAATCTGTAGCTAACTACACCTGCTCATAATGAGTCCGACTCAGCCCAGGGCCTACACCCGTGGAAACTGGCATACAGTCCATGCAGTGCCCTGGCAGTGAAATCAACAGAGAGGGAAGGTTGAAGTGAGGAATGATGGGGGACAGCATAGCTTGAAAACCTATGGTGCTAAGTGAGGAGGGAGTGGCCAGTGCCCATTCAGTGTGTTCCCTTAATAAATGCTGGTGGTGAAGCTCCCAGCGTAACATAAAGCTATCCTGCCCTGGCAAGAAATCCCCACAGAGGGAGATAGCCTCTGCCCCCAAGTGGGGTGTGTGCAGGGGGTCAAGCTGGTGTAATTCATTGGGGCCAGGTGAAATTGGCCCACCCAGTGCAGTAAGCATGCCTATGCTGAGAGATCATGGGAGTATATTGTGGTCAGAGATTTCAAATCAGCAGCTACATGGGGCTGGTGGAGAATCGTTGCCAAGGAAAGATGGAGGCTGAGAACTCAACTCACCATACACAGTCAACACGCAGCTGCATTTCTCCTGGCCCAGCTCGTTCTCAATGGCCACGGTGTAGTCGCCGCTGTCCTTGGAGCTGCAGGTGGGGATCATCAGTGTGCAGACGCCACTTGTTGAGTTGTACCAGAACTTAGAATTGGCCGTGATGTTCACATTGCCTTTGTACAATGTCACCACCGGGCGGGGGTTGCCCAGGAAAGCACAACTCATGGTGCAGTCCTGGCCCCGGTGCACTGCATGGTTCTTCAGCGGAGCAATGAAGTGGGGGGCCTGGCGCCAGTCTCTCTCGTGATACTCCTTCAACTTGCCATTGAAGCGCTCTATAAGGAAACAAAGGGATCACCACTGCTTCCAAATGTGTAAAACAGCAGTGCATACCTCCAGAGAGATAGCTGTACCCCGCTGGGCTCTGGGTTCTCCTCCCACACTGGTATGAGTCACAAAGTAGTGACTCCAATCAACTCAGTTACACTGGTGTAAAACTCAGGCCCCGAGTTTCTTTTTCCCAGCTAGTGAACATTAGGTGAAGAGCAGAGGGAATGAGTAGCATGTCTCAATATGATTATTCTTAGCACTCCACCAGCACTCTTCACTTATAAATACAAATCAGGAAGCAGCATGTTTGGTGGGGAGAGCAGGGGGCTGGGAGTCAGGACCTCTGGGTTCTATTTCCAACTTTAAACACTAACTTCCCATGCAACTGTAGGCAAGTAACTTAACCTCTTTGTACCCCATCTGTAAAAAGGTGTCAGATTTTCTGCTTCATGTAGATGTTGCAATGCATAATTTCTCTAGTTAATGTCATTACCTTGAAAAAAGGTGTGGGATTTTTGGATGACAAGATATGTTCGAAATGCAAATCATGCTAATAAATTATTACACATGATTGTCAACTGAAGTATGTAGACTTTTTGGGGGTGGAAGCATTACATCTCTGCATAGTTGGCACTGAGGGATTGGCAGTATGCAGAATGCTGCAGAGAGTCAAGGAGACTATTACAAACGGCAGTGTGCATTGCAGGAATGTGCCACATTTTTCAGTCATAACCAAAAAATCATTTTGAAAACCCTTCCTTTTTTATATATCTACTTTTCCCACCAGTAGGAGCTCCAGCTGGGTAAAATTCCTTGATCCTATATTAAAATTTAATATGAAAAGGCAAAATTCTGCTCTCAGTTACACCGACTTCATTCTCAGAGCACAGTTTGCTGCTTTTCTCATTACCCTTGGGCTGTGACAATAAAGCAAAGGCCGTCTACTTTTCTCTCCAAAATGTGCAACTTGAAGACTGTCTGTCATTTTCAATGGGAGGTAGGGAGTAGTTCTCTGCTGCAACTGTGTCCTGCTATCCTGCATACAGAATGGTTATCAAGTGCTCTAAGGCACAGAAAACCTAATGGTTCTTTTATTGACCCCTGATTAATGTGGGTCTAACTCCACTGTTAGTCCATATTTACAGCAGTGTAAGTGAGATTCAAATCAGGCCTGGAGTAGAACCAAGAAAAGAACACTATGATGGCTATAGTTAGAAGTTTTCTTTCTTGGTGACACCCTAAAACAATGGAAATACCTTAAGAGAAGTGACATGATTGTGTCTAGCTTATATGGCATAAGAAAGACTGATGTTAAATACACATATGACTATAAACCATCTGTGTGGCATCTACAGTACTAACAAGATTGGAAACGTTATAGCAAAATGTGCACATGCTCCTTGGAAAATTTATCTGCAGCTGTCCAACCTGTCTGGTTGTTTTGTGCTAATGTCCTGCTTATTAAACTAGAAATAGTCTTGCATGACAAAGTTTGGATCTGGATCCTAACTATCTCCAAGTGTCTGGATGTGGGGTTTTGGTTTGGCCCATTGTGGGGATACGGCCCACTTATGATCCTGATATGAGCTTCCCTTGAGTGAGGGAATGTTCAGCTCTGGGGGTTTGTTTTGGGCCCATCTCTAATGAGGACATCATCTCATCCACTAAGCCTGAACACACCGGTTAAGAGTGGAGGGAAACAAACTGGGGGGGAGGGGGGGGAAGAGAGGTAAAATTTTAAATAAGCACATCTAGTGGATATCATAAGTTTTAGGAACTTTTGCACCCTACAACTAAAAAAATTTTTATAAAAAAAAAAAAAAAAAAATCTGCTATGCCTCACAGATTTTTAGCTATTCATTTTGGGAACTGTCCGAATTCAGCCAGCAATGAGTTGGAGGGCAACCTAGTAGTAAAAAATGAGAACTCTCTCATGTCAAGACACAACTACCCTCTATTTACACATACACACAGAGAGAGAATATATTATCATTATTATGCATATGACTCTAGGTAACACCTAGAGGCCCCAGTGTGATTACATGCTCGTAGATGAGATGACAAAGAGTGGGAGAAAGGAGATATTTTTGTCTCCATTTTACAGATGGGGAACTGAAGTACAGAGCGGTTAAGGGACTTCTGTGACCAGGCTGGGAATTGAAGCCAGACCTCCTGGGTCCCAGTCTAGTGTCTGATCTACAAGAGCACCCTTTTCCCTCTCTGTACATGCATCTATTCTAATGTTTACCTTTGTCTTTAGAGATGTGCCAGGGTTCCTTGGAATCCAGAGGGTCACTGTCTCCAATGTCATTGCGGGCAATAACTCGGAAAAAGTATTTCCTCCCTGGGACCAGGGCTGTGACGGTGTACTTGTTATTGTAGACTTTCTCAGCTGCAGTGAACCAGGTGGCAGTTCTAGCGTCACGTTTCATGATGACGTAATGGGCATGCCCATCATCCATTATATCTGGGGTGTGATCCCATTTCAGAGTCACGGTGTTCGGCACTTCCTCAACGAGCTGCAGATTCTTTGGTGGCCGTGGGAAATCTAACAAATAGGAAACACCTTTAGGTATTCGTTTCTCTTATTTGGGAGCACCCCTCTATTTTTTTCTCTGGAAGCAAACCCTTTTCAACCCAGCTGCTGCCTTGTGAATTGCTTATGCATATCACTGTGTGTCTAGCAAATTCTGGTACTGCACATGCACTCCTAAATTTCATTCCCTTGGACCTTTCCAGACCTAAGAACCTGGAATCCCCGGCAGACTAATTGGCTCCCTGTCTAAAGCCAGTTGTAGCCTGGAAGCTAGAGCTTTTGCTATACTGTACCTGCCACATGTACTTGGATGTCATAATGGGCTTCACCATAGTCGTTCCTAAGGAGGATCCTGTACACACCAGAATCAAAACGCTTGGTGCTGTGGATGAGGAACTGGGAGTGGTTCTTGCCTTTGGTGATGATCTCTCTCCCTTTTGTGGGAATTCCATCTTTTTGCCAGGTCACAGTTGGTAGAGGGGAACCCTGTCCGAGATAAATGTGTAAAAATTAATGGCGGCCTTAACTTTCAGTATATAACAGATAACTCTGAACCTAAAATAACAGTGTCTTGGATGCAATTAACTTGATATCACCCAAAATACTCCAAGGAGAGCACTCCCAGGGAATTTTGGCAGTAGAAATACCAGGGGAATGTATGCTCTCCTGGTATTAGGCCAGATGCTCAGCTGATGTAAATGGACATAACTCCACTGAAGCCAATTGAGCTTACTCCAGCTGCAGTTCTGACCCTTAGTTTTGTTTCAAGACGATGATGTTGCCAAGATTCTCAAACAGGTTAAAAAAAATCACACTTCCCCCAGCATTACACTTGATGCAGTGGTCTCTACGGACTCCGCAGGAGGGATTCCAACATTACCTCGAGGCTAAAGTTTATCTCTGTTTAATCTTCTCCAAGCACTTTTTAAAAGCAGAGGAAAGGGCTGGTGCAATAGAGGTAACACCTCAGCTCTAGACAGTGCACCAAGAGGTTCCCCCAGGGGAAACTGCAGCTCCTCTACTGCAGTGAATTCAAGCTGGCATAGAACAGATGACCCTGCAGTCCTGCCTTAGGGTCAGCTCCTGCCATCCCTTCTGTGCCTGTGGTGATGACTCTCAGAGCTGAAGGGACAGGATTGAGCACTTAGTCCCTGTTGAGTCAAATCTCCCATTGACTTTTGTGGGAGCTCCGCCTGAGATAGGACAGAGCCAGGACTGCAAGATTCATCCCCTAGGGGACCAGATCCTGCTGTCAGTTAGTCTAGTGTAAATCAAGAACAACTGCATTGTAATCAGGAGTTAAATTAGGAGGAGAGGTGATGGTGTATAACTCTACCGGTGAGCCCTCTCTTCCTAGCTCCTGGGTTGGCTGAGCAGCCTTCCCTCCTCCTTGGCCAGTGCAGGGAGAGCGCCCTGTTCTGTTTCAATCTGCTATAACTGCTGATTGTCACCTGTGAAGTTACTCTGGCTTTAGGGCCAAACCTGTGAGGTGCTGAGCATGTCCTGTGAGGTACAAGCACCCTGAGCTCCCACTGACTTAACGACCCTCAGTAGCGCTCGAGGGTGCTCAAAGCTTTGCAGGTAGTTGGCACCACAAACCGTAATGTTTCCTTTAACAAATACGTGGCCCACATTTAATCCCCACTACAAAGCACGCCGTGCCTCTCAGCTCCTAACAGGGAACATTCTTGAGAGCTTTAATACAATACAATAAAATATCTTGAGACCATCACAGTGACGTAGCCATTGGAACAAATGGGAAAGGCTTGACTGTGTATCTGCCACAAGTCGTATCCTGTGCAGTTACTGAGTTGAAAAAAAAAACCTTCCTGGCCCAATGTGACAATCACGTGCACCCTTATTAACAACACTTCTTTATGCTGCTTGTAAAGCTTCACTCTCTGGCATGGATTTGAGCAGAATAGATTACAGGATTCATAAAGCTCTGGTGAGTGTGGCATCTCAATCAGATAACATTGCATTACCGTAATTAATGAAACAGAAGTCATGCACATTTTAATGCTAGGTCTCTCCTAGTAATTGTTAGTGCTTATTCTCGGTGGGTTGATATTAACTCCCTACCCAAATCCACACTACTGAAGGCTAGATTGTGCAACCCTTTCTCATGCTGGTAGGTGCTTACTCCTGGGAATAGCCCCTCCAACTTCACCAGTGTGAGGAAGGCTTATAAAACCTAGCCCTAAAATCAATCAGCATTTACACACTGCTTCACAGAACCAAAGTGCTGCCTGGCCATCAGGCCAAATCCTACTTGCCTTACTCGGGCAAACTGTCCCACTTAAGTCAGTGTGATTGTTCTTGCGAGGAAGGCCAGCAGAAGTATTTGTCCCTTAAAGGGCCAGATGATCCTTTTACATCTAGCCCTGAGGCATGTATCTGTACCACTTTAGAAGCCCAGGGGAAGGAACTGTGCCTCAGAGAGTCATAATGCCTTCTCTGTTCCCTCATTCTCATGGGAGTGAGTAATCAGCCATTAGTCTTGACCAGCAGCAGATTGCTTCACCTACTCCCACACTGGTTCAGCGAGTACACGGATGTGGTTGAGTTAAGGATTTGACCATTTGCTTCCCTGCCCACCTGCAGTGTGGGGATATACTGGGTACTTATTCCCTGCTTCCTCCACTGCCCCTACAGTGGAAATGTGAGGAGGCCATGGGGAATTTCAGTGGATGTTCCAATCATCTACAGCTTGTGGGACCAGGCCCCACTTCTGTGAAAGGAGGAAAATGGTGATAAAACTTTGACGCCAAACAAAACTTTCAGTGCAGACTTTCCCTGAGGTAGAGCAGGGCAGAAGGAAGCTCACAGTAAAAGCAGCATGAATGCAGAGGGCTGTCCCAGCGCGAACCACCATATGACTCTTCAGCTTGGTACTTAGATCAAACTTAGGAGGGGCTAAAACACAAAACACAAACCACCACCACAACAGAGAGAGAGAGAGAGAGAGAGAGAGAGTAATTAAAATCTTAGAGGCCTCATATCTGAGCAAAGCCATTTCTCCTCTGTCGGCCTGCTGGTTTAAGCACTGTGCAGTGAAAACAACATGATGGGAGAAAGAAAAGCAGTCCTTGATATTAGCTTCTGCAGAAGGTAGCTAAGACATTAAGTTAGTAATTGCATCATAAGATGGGAATGGGACTGAGAATCTGGTCTTTTTAAAGGTGGAAATGAAGCTACTCTTAATTATGAACAGATACTGCAGTGATGGGCTCATTAGTGCTAGAGGGAACCATACATACATATGTACGTACAGGAAAGGAAACAGATCATGTATATTTTCATTTTGAAGCTGCTGCCAATTCGTAGCCACTCCTGTTTAGTAGCCACACCTTTACCATGCAATTTTTAAAGAAAGGCTGTGCCTCTGCTCTCAAAGAAATTGAGAAATAAGAGTAAGTAATACACTTTAATGAGAGCTGCCCTTCTCTTCAAACCATCAAGGCAGTAATTAAATTGAACAGAAGCCAACGCTTGGGTGAACAAGTGTTAGGGTATGGTTGTTAGCGCGACACTGACACAGGTGCTCCTACTGAAGTTAATGGCACAGCTTGTGTGAATAGGTGTTCATCAACGTGAGGATTGCAAAATCGAGCCTTGAGTTACTACAGCACTGTTTGTCCTGTAATATAAGGGGTCCATTACCATGTGCATTTAACACCGCCACCTCCTGCCCTCTCACGTTCCAGGGGCACGCAACTAGGTGAGGAGTATTTATCCCTTGGCACTCAAGGTCTCAATCAGAAGAGTCAATTATATTCTTTTAAAACAAGCTGCAAGGGGGAGGAAGTATTACCATTTAAAAATGATTAGTGTGAGAAAACAGATTGTGGGCCAAAAAAGTTATGTTGCTTGAAATCACCATTTTAACTGACTTAAAAATAACTGTCCGCCGCTTACTCCCACCACGCTGATAGCAGATCTGTTGTTTCCCATCAAACTACATGTGCACTTCATGACAGCACCGCATGTTCCTATTTCCTACCACAGTTTGTTTTGTTTTGGTCAGACAGTAAATCTGAGGTTAGATTGGTGTTTCTCTTTTAGGAGAGGTAATAATTAGTATCAAGATTATTAGTGCAATTCTGAAGTGAAGACCTAAAGGAAAAGCTGCTTTTAATAGATATTCTAATTTTGTGCTGTTCTGCTGGCTGTTGTCTTCTGACATTCCCCTGGTCAGTGCCAGATGTCTTTATTCCTGATGGAAATCACTGCAATGTAGCATGACTCATGAGTTCTGTATCTTACCTTGCTAGTCTTTCTACCTCTTTAGGCAGCTCTACCCCCTAGGAACATCCCAGAGACAAGCTGTTTGAATTTCCTAACTAGCAGAGTAAAAACAAATTCACTACCCATGAGTGCTAAACAAGAAAAGTCTGAACTGCCACCTCTTATAATATGGCTCCGAAGGGATACTAATGACAGGTCAGCTACCTCAGCAGTTATTCTCAAGATGTGATGGGCAGCGTCTCCCCTTGACAATACAATTACCTCCATGTTGTCTGTTTATCATAGTGCCACCTGATTGTTCATTTGAACCCTTCGCTACCCAGTTGGAAAAACAGTAATCTGTGTCTCAGTACCAGTCTCTATTGCAGATGGGCACTACCAATACTATGTACTGATCAGTAGCAGGTAAGCTATCTATCCATCTTTCCCATCAGGAGACATTACTATCTACCCATCTAACAGCATCACTGGCAGCAGGGAGAATTCCCTGAGAATTGCCTCTGCAATCACATAGCTGACATAGGAGACTATTGATGACAGAAGAAGCTGCAGCCAATTGAGCTGTAGCTGGAGATTTCAGGAACTGCTGTGAAGGATTCTTATAGTTCAGCCCTAGCAGGAAGTGTGGCAGAATAGCTATCGGTCCAGCTCCAGGGCTCTACAAAGAGTTTCTGTGGCCCAATGTCACTTGCCAACATCTTATCTGCAAACTCTAAGTGAAATTTATTTGAGGATATGAGCAAAAAATAAGACCTGTTGCACTGAGGTGTCCCTTTATATTGGAGTAAACCACTGCACAGAACAGAAAGAGCATTTGTTAATAGCCTTTTCTGGGAGAAGTTCATTCATTTAATTTAATTCATCTTTATTATGAGTCTGAAAAGGCTAGACATGCTGGATTTTACTCTATATATTTGAGCTGGTTTTCTCTAAGCAAAATCAGATCCCTAATTGATCCTCTTTGCTGATGGGCAAAGCCCCTAGTGAAAATGTATTTGGCATGAGCTTTTGTGGACATTACAAACCAGTCAAGTTGGCAGACTGTCAGGGAGGACAACTGGATTACACGCTAATGTTCATCTAGCCATCAACAAAAGCTTTATTACCTGCAAAGAGCATAAGCTTAATTAATAGTCACTCTGTGAAGCTTTGTAAACCATGGCTATTAAAATAAACACACTGACTCATGACTGAATGAGTACAGAAGTGACCTGCAGCCAGACAGGATATCCTGGAGATTACCTGGAGGGGGCATAGCTAAGACTCCTTCATCTAGCTCCGCTGGTTCTCCCACACCAGCTTCATTCACCGCTCGGATTCGGAAGAAATATTTCTGCCTCTCCTGCAAGCCTCCCACAGTGTAGCTGGTGCCGGAGATTGGGATCTTAGAGCATTTTGTCCATTCCTTGGTGTTCTCTGCACGCATCTCGAGTATGTATCCTGAGGGCAAGTCTCCTTGATCTGGCTGCTCCCATGCCAAGGAAATGCTGGAGTTGGAAGAGTCAACCACATGGATCCCCTTCACCATTCCCGGAGGCTCTGAAACAGCAACAGCACACTGGTGATGAACACAGTGTACCGAAACCAGAGATTCTCACCCTTATCTCTGCACCAACCCCATATTTCAGGCCTACATTTTCAAAAGTGATTTGTGATTTCAGCCAAATCCCTTTTTGGGGTGCCCAACTTGAGACACCTTAAAGGAGCCTGATTTTCAGTAAGTGCTGAGCACTGTCACAAGGCGCTGCTCCTGAGGTTTATGAGCACCCTGTTCCCTCTAAGACTGAGTTTTAGGGGCACATGACAGCACATGATGTGTGACTTCAGTAACAAGCAGTGCCCAAGCCTTGCCACCCTGGCAGGGAGGACCAAAGCCAAAGCCTGAGCCCCATCGCCCCGGGTGGGGAGGGGGGTGTCAAAGCCAAAGCCCAAAGGCTTCAGCCCTGGCCTGTAACCTGAGCCCCGTCACCCAGAGCTGAAGATGTTGGGCTTTGTCCCTGGGAGGTGGGGCTCAGGCTTTGGTCCCGGGCCCCAGCAAGTCTAACACCAGCCCTGGCGACCCCATTAAAATGGGGTCCCAACCCACTTTGGGGTCCTGACTCACAGTTGGAGAACCCCTGTAATAAATGTTCACAGTGGGCTACGAGGATTGGATGAGAATGTTCAAGAAGCCCTCTCTAGCTTTTTGTCTGAGATAATATGAATCTTTAAATATGAAGGGGGCTATATCTTTGGCTGTGACATTTTGTAGTGTGGCCCTCTGATATGAAGGAACTGAAACGTTTTCTGATTTGGGGAACTATTTAACCTAGTGCTCTACATAGGTGCAAGAATGATCTCCCTTCTAGTTCTGCTGACTCTTATTTTCCCCGTGTTTTTCTAAACTACTTACAGCTACTGACATCCCTTCCTGCAACAATTACAGAAGCTCCCCCCTTCCCTACGCAGTTTAAACTGTTTATATACTGGGCAACCACTTGGTTTAAAAATGGGGTTGGTTACGTGGCTGTATGGAATGGATGTTACTCAGAGATGGTACATGGGCCCGCTGGCCCATTGTAACAGGTTACACAGCCCATTTCTGATCTCACTGAGGTTATTGGGAGTTTTGCTGTGACTTCAATGGGCGCAGGATTAGGTCCACATTTTTGCCAATGAAAAAACAGATTTGTAAACTAAGCTTTGGAAAATTTGCTCAATCATCTTTTACTAATTCTGCAGAAGTTTATCCTTCTTTTACCAAATGTTCAAGGCGAGGTGGGAGGGGAGGCAAGGGGTGGAGGAGGAGGAGATTACCTCACGGAGCACAGTTTTGTGGTATGCTGAAGTCCATTAAACAGAAATGATTCACACTGGTATGAAACGATTGCATTATGACTTTTGGCAGAGTACAAATATCAGGAAGTGAATGAAAGCCTCCCCAGTACAGAAAGCAGCTAAGCATGGTAGCAACTTATCATGTTGATCTGGGCATGCTGTCTGCATATAATATGGGTCTCGTCATGGGAAACAGCTTTAAGAAAACTAGGGAATAAGTAATAAAAGAAAAATACTGATGGGGTCCTTTGCAACAACAGAGTTTGAGGCTGCGCTGGGTTGTCCAGGCCCTGCACGGTTCACAGCTGTAACACGGAACTCATATTCTGTATCCTCCAGCAATCCATCCACTTTGAACTTGGTATCTAAAGATGGAAATGTTACAAGTGTGTAGATGGTTCATAATTTTTAGGGAAAGTTCCTTCACGCATAAAAGAATTCCCAAGTGAGTATCAAAACAAACAAATACATAAACATCACCTTTGGCCTGAGACTAAGCATGAGACATTTCAGCTCAAAAAATTTTTGGGGAACATTATGAATGATGATGGTCTCCATGTATCCAATCATGCACCCCACTTGCACAATGGAACCCCAAGGATTCCAAGGGGGACCCCTTTGGCACACATAAATGTGCCTTAAATGTATAACATAGGAACCGATTTGGCCTTAAAATGTATAGCATAGGAAAAATGTATAATTTGCCAGTATAGTTCCTTCTACTTAATTCAGGGCCAGGGTCTGATGACTTCACTCATGTTAGGTAGTATTTTTTCCATAAGCAGTCCCATTGTACTAATCAATTTGAGTAAGACTATCGGAATCTGGCCACCAAAGACTCATCAGATAGATCCTCCATTCAATTTGGTCAAAACCTCTGGAACCAAATATTTTGTCTTAAAATTAACACAGCTTCCACCCTTTACCGCAATTAATTTTGGTCCTTCAATCAATCAATTGATTGCCATTTAATTAATAAGGAAATCCAAAATGCTGAATCAGATAGAAGAATCCAAGAAAGAATCATGATAATAAAAGATGACTAAGACCAAAAGTCTTGTTATTCAGATGTTGTTGAAATACATGTTTCCATGTGTTATTCATAAGCTGTGATTTACATATCTCATAAATGATTACCATTTCATATGGATAACAAGCTCAGTTCCTTATTTAAATCAAGTTTGGTCAAAAACAGAGGAAGGTAGTATGGTTAGTCAGGGAAACATTTTCCAATGTGTATGCTTGAAATTAGCACCAAAATCCGTATGTGGGCATATAAATAAAAATGTCCTGATTTTCAGAGGTGCTGAGTATCCAAAGCTCCCATTTGTTCTAATGTTCAGCACCTCTGAAAATCAGGCCATAGCTGTTTAGGTGCCTAAACGTAGATTTAGGTCCCAAATGTCAGGCAACCATGTTTGAAAATTTGGACTTTAATATCTATAGCTGGTCTTCAGAAACCATATGCTATGTCTAGACAACATCATCCCTTTGCTTGAGTGATCAGAACTTCAGCTTCTCATCTCATGTCCTCTCTAGCTTTCATTTTGCCCTTGCATGGTGCAGGGAAGTGATATCTGACCTTGGACTAGCTCTTTGGTAACTGGGACCCAAAGGTTGCTGCCTTTCTTCCTTCTTTCCACAATGTACCCTTGTACTGGGGAGCCGCCGTCCTGTGCTGGAGGGTTCCAGGTGATGGTGACAGCTTCCTTAGTAACATCTGTAACTTGAGGTTGAGATGCCAGTCCAGGGGGCTCTAGACAGAGTTAGATTCAGCACAGAAGAATCAGAATCATCTACTGCTCCACTGCAAAACCTCTTTTGGTAAGAACAACAGATAGCAAGAGGCCAGGAAGAGCGATCTAGACCTCTTAAGTTCCTTCATTGCCAAAAACCCCTTTCTAAAGCTTTTGCTTTGTTATCTATTTCCCCAGCTCATTTTGGGGATTCAGTAGCGGACAGTACTCATTTGTAAAGACCTGAAAATGTCATTGTCTTATGTTTTGTTCCTAAGATAATACTGTATATCTCCACTGACCTAGTGGTCTAAAGCACAGGACTGGGACCCAGGAATTCCTGAGTTTTAATCCTAGGTCTGACATTGATTTTTGTGTGGTCTTGAACAAGTTACTTACCCTCTCTGCCTCATTTCTCCCATCTATAAATTGGGGATACTAATACGTATTACCTACCTAATAAGGATGCCGTACAGATTAGTTAGATAATGTTTTGTAAAGTATTTTGAATATAAGAGGTGCCATATAAAAAGATAGTTACATTTTCCGTAACTGGTGTTCTTCAAGAGGTGTTGCTCATGTCCATTCCATATTAGATATGTGTGCTTGCCACATGCACCGGCGCCTGAAGTTTTTCCCTCAGCAGTATCCGTAGGGGACTGTCTCTGGTGCCTTCTGGAGTGGTGCCCACATGGCACGGTACAAGGGGCACTGCCAGCTCCCCCCTCCCTCAGTTCCTTCTTGCCGGAAACTCCGACAGTGGGGAAAGGAGGGCAGGTCATGGAATGGACATGAGCACCACATCTCAAAGAACACCAGTTATGGAAAAGGTACCTCTCTTTTCTTCTTCGAGTGCTTGCTCATGTCCATTCCATATTAGGTGACTCCCAAGCAGTACCCCTGGAGGTGGGTAGGAGTTCATGGATGTGTAGATTGCAACACAGCTCTGCTGAACCCAGCGTCATCCCTGGCCTGCCGAGTGATGGCATAATGAGCGGTGAACGTGTGAACAGAGGACCACGTTGGGTCTCTACAGATGTCCTGGACAGGGATGTGCGCCAGGAAGGCCGCCGAAGACGCCTGCACTCTCGTCGAGTGGGCTCTGACAATTGGCGGCAGTGGAACCCCCACCAGGTCATAACAGGTCCTTATGCACAAGGTAATCCAATTGGAACTCCTCTGCGAGGACACCAGGTGACACTTCATCCTATCTCCTGTAGCGATGAAGAGCTGAGTCGATTTTTGGAAAGGCTTGGTATGTTCTGAGTAGAAAGCCAAGGCCCTCCGGACGTCCAGGGCGTGAAGATGCCTCTCCTCACTAGTCTTGTGCGGTTTGGACAGAATACCGGGAGGAAGATGTCCTGGTTCATACGGAAGGTGTAGACCACCTTTGGCAGGAAGGCTGGGTGGGGCCACAACTGAAAATTATCTTTGTAGAAGACCATGTACGGAGGTTCTGAGGTCAAGGCTTTAATCTCAGAGACCCGTCTCGCCGACATCAACACCACCAGGAACTCAACCTTTCATGACAGATGGGAAAGGGAGCAGGAACCCAGCGGCTCAAAGGGCAGGCTGGTGAGCCTAGAGAGGACCAAGTTAAGATCCCACTGCGGGATGGGAGCCCGCACCTGCGGGAAGAGTCTCTCAAGCCCCCTCAGGAATCTGACTATCACGTCATGGGAAAACACCGTCTCTCCTTGGATCGGCAGGTGAAAAGCAGAGATGGGCCGCGAGATGCACTCTAATGGAAGAGTATGCCAGGCCCTGGTTCCTCAAATGGAGCAGGTAGTCCAGGACAGCGGACAGTATGAAGGAACGCGAGGGAGAGATGCCCCGTTCGGACGCCCGATGGGAAAACCTCATCCACTTGGCCAGGTAAATCAGTCTAGTTGAGGGCTTCCTACTTTCCAGGAGAACCTGCTGGACTCCTTCTGAACAGGTCTGCAGCATCCACGCTGAGAGGTGGAGGGACATGAGGTTGGTGCAGGAGCCAACTGTGGTCCTGTGACAGCAGGTCCGATCGGTTGGGCAGGGGCCAGGGAGGGGCTGCTGACAGGCTCATGAGTATTCTGAACCAGTGCTGGTGAGGCCACATCGGGGCAATCATGACGACCTGCGCCTTGTCTCTCTTGATCTTTGCCAGGGCCCTGCTGATGAGTGGAATTGGAGAGAACGCGTACATCAGGCTTCCTGACTACAACAGGAGGAAGGCATAGGAGAGGGAGCCCTTGCTCAGACGTTGCCAAGAACAAACCTGGTGGCATTTCTTGTTCTGTCTGGTAGCGAACAGGTCCACTTAGGGAGTTCCCCACCTTTGGAAGATCATGCCGGCTCCCTCTGGATGGAGTGACCACTCATGGTGGGAGGACAAGTCCCTGCTGAGCTGGTCTGCCAGCATATTCCTGACACCGGGAAGGTAACAAGCTTCCAGGTGGATCTCGTGGCTGATGCAGAAGTCCCATAGACAGAGCGCCTCCTGACAGAGAGTCGACGAGCGCACTCCCCCTTGCCTGTTGATGTGGAACATCGAGGCTGTGCTGTCTGTCAGGACTCGTACCACCTTGCCCGACAGGTGGGGCAAGAAGACTCCGCACGCCAGCCGGGCTGCTCGGAGCTCTTTGACGTTTATGTGCAACCGCGCTTCATCTGGGGACCACATCCCCTGAGTCTGGAGGACACCGATATGCGCCCCCCAGCTGAGGTCCGAGGCATCAGACACCAAATCAATGAAGTGAGGTGGATTGTCGAATGGAACCCCCGCCAGGACTGTCCTGCGGTCTGTCCACCACCACAGTGAGGTAAGTATCACCTCGGGAATGGTAATGATCTTTTTCAGGGGGTCTCGGGACTGGGAATAGACCGTCGCCAGCCATTCTTGCAGGGGCCACATCCGGAGCCTGGCATGGTGGACCATGTAAGTGCACGCTGCCATGTGACCCAGGAGGCACAGACAGACCCTGACTGTAATCAGAGGGAACACGGAGACTTCCGCGATGAGGTTCGTCAACGTGTGGAACGTTTCCAGTGGCAGGAACACTCTGGCGCAGGTTGAGTCGAGGATCGCTCCAACGAACTCTATTCGCTGCACTGGCACTAATGTCGACCTTTTGTCATTCACCAGTAGGCCCAGAGAGCAGCACGTAGCTTGAAGCACCGTGACATCCCTTTGGACTTGAGACCTAGAGCTGCCCTTGACAAGCCAGTCATTGAGGTATGGGTAGATCTGGATACACCGGTGCCTGAGGTAAGCCGCTACCACCGACATGCACCTGGTAAACACTCTTGGTGCTGTCGCCAGGCAGAACAAGAGGACCGCAAACTGGTAGTGGTGGAGGCCCACCGTAATCTGGAGGAAGCGTCTGTGTCCTTGAAAGATCGCTTTTGGAAGTATGCGTCCTTCAAGTTGAGGACGGCATACCAGTCTCCCGGATCCAGGGAGGGGATAATAGTAGCCAGGGAAACCGTGCAGAACTTTAGCTTCTTTAGATACTTGTTGAGGTCTCACAGGATGGGCTGTAGACTGCCCTTGGCCTTTGGGGTTAAAAAGTACCGGAAATAGCACCCCTTGTTCCTGTACTCGAGAGGAACTTCTTCCACCGCACCCCTTTACCTCCTGCACGAGAAGACGCTCATGAGGGGGTCCCTGAAGAGGGACGGGGAAGGCGGGTGGGAAGGGGGGGTGTAGAAAGGAACTGGAGGGTATAATCCTGCTCCACTGTGCTGAGGACCCATCGGTCCGAGGTTATAGCTGACCAGGCAGGGAGGAAGAGGGAAAGATGGTTGGAGAACACAGGGAAGGATGGATCCGGGGAATAGTCTGGTAGGTCACCCTTGGGTACACCCTCAAAATGACCATTTGGCCCCTGCTTATTCCGGGTCGAGCCCGACTGGGCAGAAGGTGGAGGCGGGTGGCTCGCACGGCGCTTGTAGCCCTTGGATCATTTATGGGGCTGGTCCTGCCGATTCTGGCTCCCTTGGCCCTGTGTCTGCTGCGGTTTGAACCGCTTACGCGCTGTGGCTGGGACGTAGAGATCTGGGGTCTTCAGGGTGGTGCGGGAGTCCTTGAGGCCATGCAACTTGCGGTCTGTTTGCTCTGCAAATAGAGCCCGGCTATCGAAGGGCAGGTCCTGCATAGACTGCTGGGCCTCAGTGGACAACCCAGAGAGGAGCAGCCAGGAGGCTCGCTGCATGGAGATAGCGGAAGCCATGGTGTGGGCAGCAGCATAAGCAGCGTCTGACACCGCCTGGAGGGCCACCCTGGCTGCAGTCGTGCCCTCATTGAGGATTGCTCGGAACTCCTTCTTGGAAGCCTCGGGGAGCAACCCTTCGAACTTGGCCATGGCTTGCCACATGCTGAAGTCATATCAGCCAAGGAGGGCTTGGTGGTTGGCTACTCTCAGCTGAAGACTGGAAGACGAATAAACCTTACATCTGAAAAGATCCAGCCTCCTGGAGTCTTTATTTTTGGGAGTGGCCCCAGGTTGTCCCTGCCTCTCTTTGTGGTTAACCACCTTGACCACAAGGGAATTGGGGGCTGGGTGGGAGTATAAGTACTCATGCCCATTGGTTGGCACAAAGTACTTGCATTCGGCCCTTTTAGAGATGGGGTCATGAAGGGGTAGAGCCACCCTGGCAGGAGCCGAGGAGCACAGGAGTCTGAGGGCTCTTCCAAGTCCTCTTCCGGAAGCCCCAGGTTGGAAGCGACCCTTTTCAAAAGTTGCTGGGGCACCTTGGCGTCATCCTGAGGAACTGGGTGAGGGGGCCCCGTGATAGCCTTGTCTGGCGATGACAAGGATGATGCCGGTGCCGCGGGAACCTCCACATCCATTGGTGGTCCAGCAGCTTGCTCCCCTGGGTCCTCCTGGACATGTAGGGGTCTTACCCCCCGAAGTCTCAAGCACTGGAGGGGGACGGGATACTGAGGCTGCTGGCCTCTCTGAGGCTCCCGACACCAACTGGACAGCCTGGGAAGGTTGGGTGAACCCCCAAGGGTTCCATGGCACTGGCCACTGCGCTTGGGGCCATGGTACAGGTTTCAGTGCTGATAATGTAGACAGCACCGTTAGTACCGGGGCTTGTCCTGCAGTCAGGGAACCTCACTCCGAGCCGGAGCTACCAGTGGAGCGGTCAGTACCGGGCAACCAGGAACGGGCTCCTGTCCGACCGGTGCTGGTTGCTGCGTCCTGAAGCCGACCTGTCCGAGCGAGACTGTCTTGGTCGGGCTCTTGGGGACTTACGGCGTTCGGCAGATCTGCGTTGGATACCTGGCGATCCACGCCTCATGCTACTCGACCGGGACATCAAACAGGAAGGGGAGCTACTACAGGCCGGTTGCTGGGAGGATTGTCCTGAGTAGGGCAACCTTCCCTTTGGAAACAGGTGATGACGGCCTGGCGATCGGCAGTCTCTGGTGTCCGATCGGTCCCAGGATCAGTCCTGGGCCCTTGAAGACAGTCGGGGCCGGTCCCAGAATTCTTGCCGGATGGTGTGTGCCTCAGAGGGTCTGCACCAATCTACGGGCAAAGTACGCCTCGAGTCCCTCGATCAGTGCCCCCAATACGGGGACCGAAGAGGGCTCCGCTGAGCCTGCCTCTGCAGTCCTGAGGTGTGGCAGCTGCAGGTGGGCGAATGCTGGTGGGATATCCCTCTCGATGGGGAATGGTACCACTGAGGCAGGGACACACGCATAGGTCCCAACGTGGGTTTTCCCCGAGACTGGGGTACCACAGGAGCCGATGAGGGCGGCACCAGGAGCGTCAGGATCTCCTGAGCTGCTTGAAGGGCTTCGGGCGTCGACGACACCTGAAGCTGGCCGGGGCCTGCACCACTATCTGGAGTCACAGGCAATGGGATGGGCTGCACCGCTCGACTTGAGCTGGGGCCCGACTTCCTGAGGGGGATGTTGAGCTGCCCGACATGGGTCTTGGCTCTCCCTCGCCCTTTCCTTTCCCTTGCGGGAGATAGATCTTCCCATCAAAGTCTTTTTGGGTTTCTTGACCAGAGCCATGGAGTGAGACCGGTGCCGGCTCGTGGACTGCGCTGGGGGAGCACTGCGCATGGAGGCCACGGTGCTCAGTGTGGAGTCGGACCGCTGCTCCGGTGACGGAGTGAGTGCCGACTCCATTAGGAGCCCTTTTAGATGGATATTGCGCTCCTTTTTCATCCTAGGTTTGAAGGACTTGCAGATATGGCAGTTGTCACTTATGTGCCCTTCGCCTAAGCACCTTAGGCAGCTGGTATGTGGATCGCTGATGGGCATACGCCATTTGCAGTGATCGCAGGGCTTAAAGCCTGGGGACCGGGGCATGCCCTAACCCCTGGCTGGGTCCTGTCCGGGACTAACGAAGAGTTCGAGAACGACTACTAAGGGCAACTAAGAAACTACTAACTATATATAACTATTTTACAGGATTTCAAAATTTGCAGGAACAGATAACCGAACAGCGCTACCCGAAGCAGCAGACATTCCAGCACCGTCACTGGCAGCAAAAAGGAACTGAGGGTGGCGGGAGCCAGCGGTACCCCTTATACTGCACCATGTGGGTGCCATTCCAGAGGGCACCAGAGCCAGTCCCCTACAGATACTGCTGAGGGAAAAACTTCAGGCACCGGTGCATGTGGCGAGCACACACCCCTAATATGGAATGGACATGAGCAAACACTTGAAGAAGAATAACCAAGGTTGGAAGTTCCACCAGAGAACTGGTCAATTAATTGTTTTTTTAAAACGTGGAAAATAATTTTTAGTGAAATTTCACATTTTCAGTGAAAAATAAAAAAATGGAAATTTTTCATTCAAAAAATAAAATATTTGTATTCTGAAATGCTGCCACAGTGCCTACTGGAAGCTGTAGTTCCAGCACCTCAGGCTCTCAATTCTCTTGTGTTGGCTGAGCTTCCTGATTGGACTACATCTCCCATGATGCACTAAGGCTGTGAACGATAGCAAGTTAGATGGGTGTGGTGCATCATTGGAGGTGTAGTTTGGCTGGGGATCCTGGCCCATAGAAGAGAATGGGAGCATGAGGTGCCTACATTACAAATCTCATGAGACACTCTGAAAGCATTTCAGAATTGAAGTATTTCAGTTTTTGGCTAAAAAACTTTTTGGGCATTCATTTTTTTAATTTAAATTTTGCATAGAAAGTAGACACTTTAAAAAGATTTGTTTTGCCCCCTCCACTCCCCATTTTTGTCAAAAAATGGATTTGACGAAAACATTTCCAATTTCAAGCAGCCGTACCATACACAACACTACCCTTGTATAAAAAAAACTAACAACATTGAATAGCAAATGGTGCAAAATCTCCCCCTGCCTTATTTTTGTTTTGGGTATCTCTCAGCGGGTGATCTAAGACAACATAAATAAGGCAGGTATTCTGTTAAATCTGGTAACCCAGATTAAGCGAGTGTGGGTCTTAGCTCCCTCTAGTGGCTAGTTCATAGGAGCAGTTTTTGAATACCCTACTGCTTGCCGTCAAAGGACATTGTCCCTGGTTCAAACCCTGCTGTCAAACCAAGTAAGGGATGGTTACAAAGGGCCTGCCCTTCTTGGAGCTTTCAGCCCTGAAGTGCAGAAAGTCAAAGAAGAGACAATGCCCTCTTGACGGGGGGGAAGGAGCAAAAATAAAACCACATTAAAAATGGCAGCTCTGGCATGCTCAGGTGCTTACCAATAGGTTCTCCAGCAAAGATTTCTTCTGTCTCCAGTGGATCACTCAGACCTTCTGCATTGACAGCAATGATTCTGAACTGATAGGCTTTACCTTCCTCTACCTTATCAGTGGCAAATGTGGTGTGTTTGCTATCAGTTTCCCCAATTTTGATCCAGGACTTTTTCCCAGCCATCTTCTTTTCAATGATGAAGTGGGTCACTTGCTTTCCTCCATTGTCTCTGGGTGCTTTCCATTTCATTTTAATGCATTTTCCCGTACGCTCTAGCAATTCCACTTTACCCTGCGGTGGTTTTGGTTTGTCTGCAACATTGGGAGATAAACAGTGAGTGGATGGCCATTATTTAGAAGGCTATCTCCTCATTTGGTGTAAATCGGTGTTGGAGTTACACTGATTTACACCAGCTGATCTTCTGAGGGTACGTCCAGACTACCCAACGTATCGGCGAGTAGCGATCGATTTATTGGGGATCGATATATTGCGTCTCGTTAACACACGATATATCGATCCCCGAACGCGCTCCCTGTCGACTCCGGAACTCCCGCGCCGTGAGGACCAGAGGTAAATCGATCTAAGATACTTCGACTTCAGCTACGCTATTCACGTAGCTGAAGTTGCGTATCTTAGATCGATCCCCCCCCGCCCCCCAGTGTAGACCAGCCCTGAGTCACATTCTGTCCCCCATGCAGGGACTTCTGAGCTTTGGACCCACATGGCCTCAGAATGCACTTTTACAACTCTACATGTCTACAGAACCAGTGAATTGCTATAAATGATTTGTTCAGGACCTACCAACAACGTTGAGAAACATATTAGCAACAGCTGAACCACAATCATTTTTCAGCTTCAGCATAATGTTTCCACTGTCTTCTCTCACACACTTTTTTATTGTGAGCGTTGCATAGTCACTGGCTTTTTCCATCACAACTCGCTCTTCTTCTGTCACCTCAATACCATCCTTGAACCAGGTGACTTTTGGCAGTGGCTTTCCCTTGAATGGGACCTTGATGTATGCTGTATGCCCGGCCTTCACAGTCACTGGGTGTGCAGCCAAAAGCTCGAGCACAGATGGGTCAATGACAGGAACATCTTGGAAAAAAATGGAAAAGACACATGAATAACTGCAGCCACAAAGGTACTTTGGTGCTTTTAATGCATTAGTGAGTTCCCCTGCAAAGGTGGCATTGTTCAGGGCCTTAACTCCTTCACCCTCAAATTTCTTTAATGGTAGAATCCCTGATTTTATGAAGGTCCTGAGGGGCACCCAGTATATTCACTACATTTGGATTCAGATATTCCAGTTTTCCCAATTACCGTACAGAGACCTGTCTGGCTTGCCCAAGATGGTCCAGCTCAGCAGAAGAGGAGACAAGGGGTCTCCAGGGAGCATCAGTCTCAAGAAGTCCCTGAGTTCCAGAGGGCTGAAGATTCTGTGGTTATTCTAAGCTCTGTGAGGCACATGGCTAAGTCCCAGTGATGCTTCTGACCAAGGGCCAAATTCTCCTGAGTACTATGAAATTATGTATCCATTAAGTGCACACATAATTGCTTAAGCAACTGCAAACAATGAGTAATTATTCATGGAGTGATGTTAGATTGGAAGGAGGTCTCAAATGTGGTTCCATAGGGATTCTACATCTTGGCAGGGGGTTAGACTAGATGACCCTGGCAGTCCCTTCTAACCCTTTGGTTCTATGAAACCAGTGAGACTACTTGCAGAGTAAGGTACTACGGGAATGTAAAGTATTGTGCACTATGAGTAAGTGTTGCAGAATAGGGCTTCCACTAGAGCTGGCTAGAAAACAGAATTTTCTGCCAATCTTTTTATAAAAAAGATTTCATAATTTTAAAAAACATATTTTGCTGAAATTGTCCTGTTTCTCAATGAAAAACTGACCCACCCCGTGAAACAATTTCTGTTTTCATTTTTTGTGCACACAACCCTCAACTTTTAGAAACAGATTTTTTCCATGAAAAATTTCATTTATAAAAGGCCACTTTTTGTCGAAAAATCCTTTTTTGAACAAAAAAAAGTTACCATCTGTAACCCCAACCATTGCTCAATGTGGGTTTTTAGTTAAACAGAGTTCAGTTACATTTTTTTCAATCAGGAATGTTCATATGTTAATAACTAGTCTGTGATAAACTCTGCCTGATGTCTCAGTAGCAATCACCAGTAGGAGCCCCCCTCATTTAGAGGACAGAGGCAAGTTGTTTGATGAGTTCAATTAGCGCCATCTGTCTGCCAAGAGTTAAGCAAAAGAATATTTTCCTACTAGAAGATTTTTCTTGTTCCTACAGAAGCAATACTCAAAAAATGGTTCAGACCACATTTTTCAAATTGCGATGCTTAAAGATAGGCCCCTAAATCTAGCCACTTAAAATGATTTCCTGATTTACTCCCATTAAAGTGTGAGCAAATGCCCTTTTGTGTATCAAGAAATGGGGTATTGCACACACAAATGGATGAGCCTGCAAACGTGGCAGGCCCCAGGAAGGAGGCCTGTTAGAAATTTGATCCGACACCTGCAAGTGATTGATTGGTGAGTAGTGTTAGGGAAAGGAGGTAGTACCTGCAATGGCAATGGTGGCCTCACTTTCTGCCCCCTTGGCTCTGAACGTGTACTTCCCTTCATGTTCCTCTCCCATTTTGTCAATGATCAATTTGTGGACAGCTCCCTGCTTGACTATCTGGATCCCTGTCATATCCGTGATCTGAAAGGAAGATTAAGGCAGTTTACAAAAGACCTAATCAGAGATTCTTGAGTATAAGGGCCTGATTAGAACAAGGGACAAAGAGTCAGGAATCCTGGCTTGTATGCTTGTAAAATGCTTTGTGATTCTTGGCTGAAAAGAGTGTCAGTGTAGAGTGTTATGTATTCACTGTGAGGATCTGAATGATCGGTGCTTCTCACTGGGGGAGCCACTCTGCCCATGAAATCGGACTGGGGCAGCACCTTGGTGTCCAGTGGATACATTGCCAAATTTGCTGATGACCTGGGGGGAGGGAGACCTGCTGACTCTGTGGGGAAGCATGTGATTCCGTGAGAGAGAGAGGGAGAGGCTGAGAAGGTTGGTTAAAAGGTGTGGGAAGGGAGTGATCCGATGACTTGTGGGGTACTTGGCAGAGGAAGATAGTTGACACACAAACAAAGGGTGGGTGCCAAGCTAAAGGGCTTCAAAACATAAAGAAGACTGAGGTTTCATTTGAGTTGGGAAGATTTAAACCAGTTTGTCCGTCCTTATTCTAGGTTCCTTTCCAAGTTATCAACACTGGGCCAGTTCCTGCAGTCCTTACTCAGGCAAAAATCCCACTAAGTTTTTCCAGCCCTTCATTTTTCTAATTACAATATAAACTCTTTACCTCTTTTCCGTCCTTCAGCCAAACTCCCTCTACTTTCTCATCATTGAGGACAACGCAGAGCTCTGCTGGGTTCCCAGTTGGAGCCTGAACATCAGACATGCCACTCTTGACTGTAGCAAATCTCTCTGAAAAAAATCCCAGGGAGAGTAAGGAATAAGTGAATAAGGACAATTTGTAAAAACAACTTTGACTCACCGAGCACTTCTGCACCAAAGCACAGAATTAGCAAGGGATAAACCTCATACCATAAAACTGTTTGGTTCAGTTGGGATAAACAACTAGACACTTACTAGGTTCAAACACTGGCTCCTGTCTCTAATTGATAAGTTCAATTTTATGAATTTATCAAGCTCAAAAGCAGTGGCTGTTTATGTCATTCTAACAAGTGGCCTGTAGATGGCACTCATATATCAGTCTGTGCTGGCCTCTTCCCTCCCTTCCCCTGAAGACCAAGAGCCAAATTCAACCTGACATGAACAGGCACATTCCACAAACCCAGGGCCAGGTTAAGGGATAGTCTCTATAGGCACATGATGGCACAGGAATCTGAGTTTTCATTTTAAAACCATTCTCTTCATAGCCCTCATGGCTGCACAAAGATATGCTGAAAATGTGACCCGTGTGTAACCCATGCAGTGGCCTCTGCCTGAGTCTGCAGGGAGCCTGAAACAATAGCTGTAAAAGAGTGAATCGCCACATTCATTTCAAAGGGCTGTTAACTCTGAAACACCATGATCTTAGGCGCAGGGTGGGGGGACCCATGCCAAACTACTCTGGTAGAAGACTGCATTGTGAAGGGCTTTTGTTGCCACCCCACCCTGGCTCTGCTGAGGTGGTATTGGCGGAGTCTCCTTCCCCCCCACTCCGAGTCCTCTGCTCAGGTGGGTGGGGAAGAGTCCTTCCCTCTTTCGAAACAGACCCCAGTTCATCTGGAGATGAGGAGCAGTGGTCTGTGGAAAGGGTGGTGTGCCCAGCCCAGCTGTTGTGTGGGTGTCCCTTGCCTTTGCCACCCCATGTAAGGGTGGAGCCCTTGGGGTAGGGGCAGGGTCACAGTTGGGGTGGGGTCAAATCTCCCTCTCAGAGTATACCCAAGCCCCCAATTGGCCTTGTTTAAACCTGTGCTGCATTTGGTCCCTCCATCCTTCCCAGAATTATGAATACCGAGCTTCGTCCTGAGCCTGTCCTTCCTGAATGACAGGTCTGTGCACTGCCCCGTCTTGCCACACTGTCTGGCTTTATGTGGGGGAAATGGGTGTTTATCCATTCATTCTGTGGGCTGGTTTTTCTAAGCTGGGCTTCTATGAGACAACACTTTTTATGGCAGGAAGGTAGGTATAAATCAAAGCCAATCTACCTCCACCATTAGTCACCTGAATATGGTAAAGGCCACTAGAACTCAGAAAGTAGCTCGGAAAAATCTGACTCTGGTTTAAGCTGCAGTACCAGGTGCATGCAACTGGGTTGTGGTGATTTTTTCCCCCTTTCTGGCTTTGCCTCTTTCCATTGAATTTTCTAGACAGCAGTTTATTCTACAGAACTAATAATCCTGTTACAATATTTGTTAATGTAACAATAATGATCATTAATATTTACGCCAGTGATCTCCTGAAACTGTGGCCTATGTACTACCAGTACTAGGCAGGAGGCAATCAGATGCTGCTTGGGACACTTTAAAGCATCAGGATAAGACTCCCTTATGCTCACACTGATTAAAATCACAAAGACAATACACTGAATACTTGTGAGCTTCAGATGCCCGTATGCAAGGTCTTAATTTGAGATCTACTGCTATATGCTTATATAGCATCTTGGATCAAAGAAAAGCACTTAGCAGATAATGGTTATCTATTATCTCTGCTCTACAAATAGGGAAACAGATGCACTAGGAGGTTAAGTGATTTGCCCCATGTCAAACAGCAAGTACACTGCCGAGTGAGGAACAGAACCCAAGTCACTTGATGCCAAGTCCCCTGCTATAACACTAGACAACACAGCATCTCTGTAATGTAGAACAGTGCAGCACGATTAAAGTTTGTTTCTTTTCTCAATTCAAACCACTCTCTTGACCCAGTTGCCCTTACCTTCCACAGTTACATTGGAAGTGCTGTAGTACTCCGTTGGGTCATTATCTTGCATAGCAACCACTGTGTACTCTCCTGAGTCACTCAGCTCAGCATTGTCAATGATCAGCTCTGCCCTCTTCCCTTCATGTGTCATGCTGTATTTGTCAGACCTCTCAATCACCCTCCCATCCTTCATCCACTTCAGCGTAACATCTTTAGAGGTCAGCTCGCACTCCAGGCAAGCTTTCCCCTTCTCCTTGACTCGGACATTCTTCAGGTTGCTGACAAATTTAATTGGAATTCCTTGAGAAAGAGGGAGGGTAAAGAGATCAGCAGTATGAAATTTCATATTTGGGGAATAACCTTAGAAATCAAGGCTAGATAGGGTCTCCTAGCATCACCTCAGCAGGGTATTAATATGCTGCTGTGGGGGAGAGAGATCCCAAGCTTGGAACTTTACTTCCAAGATGCTGCCACTTCTGTAGGGGACATATTTTCCCTGATGAGCATGCACTGCTGTCTGAGTAAAACCTTGGTGCCTCATGTAATAGCCTTTGGGTGGAGACCTAAACTGAAACGTGAGAGGCCGGCTCCTATTCCTTAACTCTGTGGTTCCACCGAAAAGGACTTGCTTAGTTGTTTGCAACTGGTCCTCTTCAAATACCTCCAAAACAATTATGCTGATTCTATTTGAAGCCCCTTGGTAATGACTGCAAAGAATTCTGGGACACATCTGAGAAGGGTAGGTTGATAACCTTTGCTGAGGGCACGGAGTAGCATGGACAGGAATCACAGAGAGATTGGGAGGGTAAAGTACTGGGGCCACATGAGTAGGGCGATGGAAATAGCTCTTTCACCAAAAACAATATTAGAAAGGAATCCAAGGTATTGTAGTGTTGGTTATGGTTACCACAATACTGGTGATAGCACTGATCTTACATTTGCACACGATCCCTGAAGAGCTTTGCAGCCTTAAACTGATGCAAAACATACATAGGGGATCATCTCCTTTTCTGTTGAAATGCAGCAGATTCTGAGTTGAATACATGTTTTTTTTCTTTGCTCCATTTTGATTGATCTCTATTTTCATGTAATCAATAAGTCTTATTGTGCTTTTGATGATAAACTCCTCCCTTTCCCATCAAATTTCCCTATGCATTTGCCCTCTGTGTTTTAAATCAGATCAGTTTGACAATGATAAATAGCTAAATGTCCATGAGGGAGGGACTGTGCCTTCTGAACCTATGGTGGCACTAATGAGGGGGTTCTTCTAAAATTCCCTACAGTCTATGGAACCCACAACAGAAGCGTATGGTCTTTGTCCCCTTCAGTGACTGATCCACAAAAGCACTTGATGAGTCTGCTACTACTTTCAGCTAATGGGGTTCAGTGGTGCTTTTTATTTCTGTAGGTCCCCCATTCAAATGCTGCTGTGAAGGGTTTGATTACATACATACTGCTCAGGCATGCCATCCCTGCATCACTTACGTTCAATGAAGAGTGGCGCTTTCTGCACCAGATCCCCAGCCTGGGCGCTAAACTCTCCAATGTCGCTGGGCCGAACATCCTTAATTTTCAATGTGTGGGTTAATCCATCGTCAGATGTGATGATCTCATATTTGTCATCCCGCTTCAGCTCCTTCCCATTGAACTTCCAGGTGAAATTGGGCACTTTTTTGGACAGGCGGATTTCAAACACTGCTGTCTGCCTTTCTGTCACTTTCAATGGCTTCAGTTCTGCCAGGAACTTTAGGGGCTCATCTGTTAAGATGTTGACAGACAAACAGTCATGCTAACAGTTTAAATTTGTTCCTAAATGTAGGGGTTTTTCCTACACTGTGTTGGGCCAGATCCTCAGCTGGAGTAAATCAATATAGCTCCATTGAAGTCAATAGGTCTACATTGAGTTGCACCACCTGAGAACTGGGCCCTACCATTTTGATTTCTTTTGCATAGAGATAACAGGGACAAATTCATCCTTAATATAAGCTGGCACACCTCTTATTAACTTCACAGAGACCTGCGTCCACTTATGCTATGGCTGATCATGGTCCCTGGGACTTAATAAAAGTTGAAAGTTTTCCTACAAAGCTGATCACCAGTGCACACACTGCTTCTTAGTCCAGTTCTTCTGCCTTACTCCTATTCTTTTTCTCCCCTTTATTCTAGTCACCGTAAAGCAAATGACCTCAGGTCAGGGCAGCCGAGATCCAGAAACCTTCCTGGAGTTTCATCTGGAGCCATCTGCCACGCAGAGAGACAGCAGTCAGGTCATACACCCCTGAGGCTGCCATATCAGAAACAGAGCAGTTCCATGATCACTCTGTGGCCTAAGGGGAGGAGTTTGTTGCCCTACTGGATACTCTGTGTCAAATTCATCTACTTGCATTTGCCACAGTGTAATAATTTACTTTCATGAATAAAGAATGAGAACTGACAGCACCAGGAGGACCTTATTCTTCCTGTAGTCCCCTTGAAAACAAGTAGCAAAATAAGATACTTCCCAATGCGAGTAATAGTGGCAGAACATGTCCCCAGGAGATGGACCAGCTACAACAGAAAGAGCTGGCAGATAAGGGGAGTAACAAGAGTACTGTGGGTAAGGAAGGCGACAGTCTTTATCCTGATGATTTGGGCTGTAATTTAAGGCAGCTTTGTTGCTGTATGCAAAATGGACAGGCTCTATGATTTCCTGAGAAACTGCAACCACACACTTGTCCTGTAACAGCAAGGACTAACAATGGAGAAAGGTCTCCCATCTTCTCTGGGCGTGTACATTCCCCTCCATTCCTGGTGACTTTGTGTAAGCATGGTTCACTTCCATTAAAAGGACATTGCCAAGGTGTTTTTCATCATTTACCCCTTTCCCTCTTACACTCTGCTGACTCATATCCCAGCCAACCCCACTGACGTCAGTGGGGAATTTGGCCTATTGTGTATAATAACCAAGCTTCATGCTGAAATTTACCATCTCAGACGTACATCCCTTGATTGTATGTGCACAGTGGTTATTGTGAGGTTGATCATGGCATGTACAGTAATGGTTTTCTTTTTCAGGATAGAAAGACCAGTGAGTCATGGATGTTGCAAATAGATATAAGAAAAGATACATAGATTCCAGTTTGACTCACCAACCTTGACAGTGTCCTTTTAAGTACGTAATCTTCAGTTTCATCATGACATACGCACTATCATGCATTTAAAAATAAAAAATTACCTATCACTTTCAGTTGTGCTGAGAGTTTCTTGTCAGCTACAATTAGACTGTAGGTGCCCCAGTCTTTTTCATTCACATTTAAGACGTACAGCATATACTTTGTACCCATCTGCTTTATTTCATATTTTCCTAGGCAGTACTGAATACGCAAGGGATCATTACCCTGAAAAGGAGAACATTGACATCTTTGACAACGTGGCACCTTTGAAAGGCTCTTCCAAGAGACACAGGTGCATGTGGAATATGTACAACACCGCGTTTAAGAGGCTTGTCCAGCAGCTGAGCCAGCAATGGGGCTGCACTGTAAACCCTACAATAACTGTCCTCAATCTACATGCCCACTGACCAGTTTCAGATGGAAATCAGTGATCAGCAATGATGCTTTGCCCAGGCAGGCCAGCCTTTCACAGGCTGTAATAGGGTACTAGAAAAATACATCATGTAGTGCTGAGAGGGGTAATTATTGCATCTTTAACTCATAGCAACTCAGGGCTATATTCTGGTGTTCTTATTCCTATTGTATCTGACTTTGTAAACAGTCTAACTGAAATCAGTACACTGACTTGCGATGTAAAGTACCATTCAATGTGAGAAAGGATGCCAGAATCTGGCCCTTCATTTTTGCTTAGTCCTTAGTTGGCACTGACTTCACTGTGGTTTTATGCGGACTGTGTAAAACATCAGGAGTTAGTTGGCCTATCGCGATTGCAGGCAAAATAAATGGAGGGTCAGCAGTTGGAGGAATTAGTAAAAATTAAAAAGAAAAGAAACCAAATAGGGGAATTTGTGCTAGAGAGATTCTTTACCAAAGATGTAGCACTCCAGTATTTTTACCTAAACCAAAAGGAAGGAGTAGGACTAGTTGTACACCCCTCAAACAGACCCTCTCAGACAGGACACTGAATAATACAGAGCATTCTTACCACCTTTCCCCACCCACAAGTGAACGTCCAGGTAGAATAGCTAAACCCTCAGTTAAGTAACGCTGGCAGATTGAATCTCAGTACCTCCACCTATTTTAGTCAAACCAAAGGAAACATGGGAGGTTACCTTATACCATGTCATCTTAGTATTGGGGTCCCTCAGTTCCAGAATGGTGTCAAATATAGCTGTGGAATCCACTTTAGCTGAGACATCCTCAAGAGGTTTTAGAACTTTGACTGCCTGCAAGATCAGTTTATGAAGAAATATAACTGAAATCTGTATTGCTTCCCACAACTCAAAGTAGACTGGATCTTTGTTCCCATTAATAATAGATTTTTTTACTATTATTTTTATTTCGCATTGGTTCTTGGAATTTGTGATACTCAAAAAGCAACACTGTTTCCATCTTCTGGACATCTGGTATTGTTTTTTGTGCATGTAGAGAGCAAGGATAGCCTTGGGATTAAGGCACTTGAATAGGAACACAGCAGAGCTGGGTTCAATTCCTGGCTCTGCCACAGACTCCCTGTATGACCTTGGGCATGTCACTTAATTTTTCTGTGTGTCAGCTCTCCATCTGAAAATGGGATATTAGTATGTCCCTTGTCTCCCTTCTCTATTTTGATGGTAACGCTTTAGAGCAGGGTCTGTCTATGTTTTACAGCACCTAGCACAATAGGGCCCTGATCTTGGATAAAATCTCTAGGTGCTGTCATAATACAGATAATAAACAACATTACAGGAAAGCTTCTGGCTGAGCAAGTGGAGGCTTTTGTTACAATGAGAATTCTTTTTACAACACTCATTATTTTCTAAGGGGCTGAAGGCACATTCCCCTCACTGAATTTCAATGGGATTTGGACGCCTAATAACTTTATGCCCCTTTGAAAATCCAAGCCAGAGAACCAGATGTAAAACTTGGATGTGGATCCAGTTTGGATTTTGAACTGCCCTTCCCCTGCTAATTTGTTTGGATTTGGATTTTCTTCCAGGCCCATCTCTAATGAAATCCTTTTCTCCTTGGCTTACAGCTGACTCTCTGTAAAGTGTTTAGCAATGCTGCCTCTGAAGGCCATTACTGTAGTGTGGCTTATGCGTAGGAGTGTTGTTCATTATAGACACAAAAATAGAAATGTATGTTCAAGGTGTTTTGAAAGCTGACGGCATTACTAACCTCAACCTCCACTTTCTTCTTCATCTCCTTTAGCTTCTTGAGGAGCCCACGGAAGTCGGTGAAGCCATATTCCATGCAGACCTTCTCAAAGTCCTTTTTCGGCACCTTGGAGAGGATTTCAAGCATTTCCTTCTCATCAGTCACCTTCTTCGCTTTCTTCTTTGGAGCAGGAGGGCCCCTGTGCATAGACCCTCATATAATTCAGGGTATATTTCAAAGTGACGAAAGCTCCTCTCACCTCTACAGCTTTGGATGTAACAGGGCTCCTGCCTGTGGAAGCTGTAGGGCCAGACTTCCCATTGGTAGGATTCCAAACAAGAATGGGGCTCCCCACTTGTGGGAAAAAGGGGCAGGAATTTAGTCTCCCCTACTGCTGGAAGGAGGGAGGGGTGAATTCCCCGGCACCACTGTCAGAGAATCTGCTGGGAGTTGCCTTCTCCTGTAGTGCTAGGCCAGAGGGGAAGAGCGGGCTGACCTGTGAGTTACTGAGTCTGAACATGGCAGTCCCACAGCTGGGAGCCAGGAGCAGTTCCCTGCACTGCTTGTACTGTTGTTCTGCTCTGTAAAGTGGCTCTGTAGAAATGGCCTAGTGTCTCTCAGTGCCCACCAGAGAAACCCGGCTCAGCTTTTTGAAATAAAGAAAGAAATAATACATAAATCCCCCAGAGATAAAACTCCTCACCTTTTTTTAAGCATTTTTTTGAAATCCAACTTTTCTTGACCTGAAAAAATAAATAAATCCCAAAGCAAACAACTGTATTCAGCATAATAATAAACAACAATACAAATAACACCATGAGGGATTCCTTGGCTTTGATGCCCTTTGCAGGCTCAGGGACAAATCCTGCAGCAAGTCTCAAAAGCTGCTGGACAGGCCTAAGACATGAAAATGCCATGCAGGGAGATTTGAGCACCATCCCAACCCTGTTCTACAGAGCAGTGATTGACAGCAGCTGTCTACAAGTTTGCAGTATGAGGCACGGAATGGGCTGTCGATATGTAACTAGGTGGATCCACTGGTCAAACTGTGTAGTAGAGGGGAAATGCTGTTGCTCCTCTGAGGGCATGACCGTACAGCTTTTTCTGAGGTAAGATGCTCTGTGGAAGTCACAGCTTTGTGGGAGATGCTTGGTTCCTAGTAGTGCCAGCTGTGTGTGCTTTGTCAGGGCTCTGGGGCTACTACATCTCCTCGCTGCATCTTGACAAGCCAACATAAGAATAAAATGGAGCTAACCAAAAGCTCCGTGTCACTCTTACCCTTGGGGAAGAGAGGGACTAAGACAGGGAGAGTGCCGAATTCATTGCCAAACCCAGAACTCCCATATGGCAGTGCAAGATGTTTGCCATGGAAACGTTGGCTTCTCACAGGTAAATGTCAGTAAGCATCACTTTCCCACCCCCCAAAAATGATGGGAAAATTGTCATCGTTAATAATTAAAATGAACGAAGGGGGATGGTGACAAGTGTGTCTACAAAAAAGGCTAACAAGGGTCCCAGTTCAGTGCACAGGAACACATCAGGGGTGAAGTGGAGGAGTTTAAAGGTGCACCTGATGGCCCAACTGGACAGTAGATATGTTGGGATCTGCCTGCTTTTTAGTGCTTGAGGTGAAATTCCCTCCAGTTCAGAGCACCCTCACAAGTCCTCTGCACCACCTCAAACCTTCTTAGTCTTTGTGTGAACCCTCTCTGTGTGAGGTGAATCTCACTCCTGCTCTGAGAGGAAAGATGGTCCAGTGGTTAGAATACTAGCTGCAAGCTCAGGAGAACCAATTTCAGTTTCTTGCTTCACTACAGACTTCCTGTGTGACCCTGGGCAGGTTACTTAGTCTCTGTGTGCCTCAGTTCTCCATCTGTGAAATGGGGGTAATAGCATTTCCCTACTTCTTGTGGATATTGTGGGGATAAATGCACCATAGATTGTGAGGCACTCAGACAATATGGTAATGGGGAAGGGGGGAGATAAGTATCACAGATAGAAATTAGATAGCAAGAAAACTGTGAAATATTAAAATGGTCAAATATCCTGATTTTATTGCTAAATCTCGACTATTATAGTCATTACATCTTGCACAAATAAAGAGTAGTACACCAGGGTAGTTTTTTCCCTCACCTGGTAGTGAAAACTCACTTGGAAGTAAGCATTAACATCATTCACTGAGATTCCTAAAAGGAGCTAATTGGATCCTTCCAAATCTCATTCTTAATTAATTAGTCTAGTTATTAATCAAGCTGGACCCCGGGCACTTACTTTCAGTCACAATCAAGGACACAGTGTAGATAATATCAGCATGGTCATTGGAAACGATGCACTTATAGTTATCAGCATCATCTGCGGTGAGGGACTCCAGCTGGAAGAAGAAACACATGGACAAAGAGGCCCAAAGTGTTAGTGGCTCAAATGTATTAAAGTGGACTCAGGAATTCCATTATGTATTTATTTTTAAGCTCTATTTTTTTCCACGAGTTTATGAAATCATCTGTTGACAATAGAAACCCTTGAGGGAGAATCTTGGAGCCCAATCCTGCAACCCCTACTCAAGTGATTCAGGAAATTAAGGTCAAGCACTAGCGACCTGATCCAAAGCCTACTGAAGTCAGTGGAGCTTAGGTGCCTAATTACCTTTAAGGATCTGGGGCAGGGAGTCTTTAAATTTACTTCAATAAGCTTTGGATCAGGCCCTAGATTTAGAGATTCTTGGCCTGAAATGGGATATATCATCAGCAAAAACAACTGAGTTTCTTCCCTGGTCTGTCCTTTAGGCTGGCCCTCTGCACAGAGATGAATGTAACCCAAACCATGCATATCCAGCATGGAGAGCATCCAACAAAGAACAGGACAGCTACCAGGCCCTGGGTTTGAGGCCCATGGAATAGATGGGTTTTCATGAGGGAGCTTTGTGGAGGAGTACAGGGAAGGATCTTGGGATGCAGCTGGTGAGCATAAAGGACTCTTTTGAAGATAACATGAATTAGGATAGGGTCAAGGACAGAGCAGATGGGAGAGATGCAGGAAGGTGGGCATAAGGGCAGAACTTTTGTTGCAAATGACCTCAAATATGAAATAGGGCTGAAATGGGACATAAGTGGTCCATCAGCATTATTTAGTATCATCATTTCCATTACAGTAGTGCCTGGCAACCCCAATGAAAAATGAGGGCCTCAGAGTGCTAGACCCTGTACAAATAAGTACCATAGAAAATGGTCTGTGCTTATGATCAAGGCCCTGTGCTCAGTACAGGGCTGAATGTCATTATCTATACATCACAAGCAATCCCCGCAAATCCTACAGCAGGACTATGGCAAACTACAGTATCTTAGACCATTGCTGAAGAATGCGGTAGTGCTTTTTTTATAGAGATAATGATAACACAATCAATTACAAGCCAAAAATAGTGAAAGACATGCATTACCTTTAGCACAAACTCCTTATTGATACTATCAAAAAACACTTTTGAACCTTCTTTTATTGGTATCCCACTTTCTCTTTTCCATGTTACATTGGGCTTGGGGTTACCTTTCACTTTAGCTCGAAATACTGCTTTGTCTCCTGAAATTCAAGGAGGAGAAATATTAGAGTGAGGAATTAAAAAGGAACAACATTTATCCATTATGTAGTTTCTCTACATTCCCCTAAATTACTTGGGGTTATCTTAACAGTATAACCTCTTTTCCTTTTTGGAAATGTAATTCTATTGATTCCAGTGGAGTTATACTGGGGGTTATACTGGCTCATTAAAAGTGATCTGCACTTTTAGGAAAAGGTAAAAATGGGATTGTCCCCTTTATGTGAAAGATGGGCACTAAAGACTTGAAAAGTCTTTCTTTCTGTTTTACATTAGACATTCATATCTTGTATACTCCACTTTTCCTGGACGACACTATGGATTACTGGAGAACTTATTTATTTACACGTTTATTTACAAGGGCCATGTTCTGCTGGCCTTACTTAGGCAAAACTTCCCCAGATGGGAGGTTTGCCTGTGGAAGGCAGGCATGATTAATTGGCTCTCACTAAGGACTGATCTGCACCTTTGAAGTCAACGGGAGTTTTGCCATATACTTCAATGTGCGCAGGGCAAGGCCCTAGAAATAAATAGTTGATACATACCTGACCAAATGGATGAGTACACAGGGCAGGCATTTGCAAATGAAATCAGGCATTTGCATGCACAGTTACTAGGGCTGTCAATTAATCACAGTTAACTCACGCTATTAACTCAAAAAAATTAATCGCGATTAATCACAGTTTTAATCGCACTGTTAAACAATAGAATACCAATTGAAATGTATAAAATATTTTGGATGTTTTTCTACATTTTCATATATATTGTATTCTGTGTTGTAACTGAAATCAAAGTGTATATTTTTGATTATAAATATTTGCACTGTAAAAATGATAAACAAAAGAAATGGTATTTTTCAATTCACCTCATACAAGTACTCTAGTGCAATCTGTGTCATGAAAATGCAATTTACAAATGTAGATTTTTTTGTCACATAACTGCACTCAAAACCAAAACAATGTAAAACTTCAGAGCCTACAAGTCCACTCAGTCCTATTTCTTTTTCAGCCAATCACTAAGAGACAAACGACTTAGTTTACATTTACAGGAGATAATGCTGCCCTCTTCTTATTTACAATGTCACCAGAAAGTGAGAACAGGCATTTGCTTGGCACTTTTGTAGCCAGCATTGCAAGGTATTTAGGTGGCAGATATGCTAAACAGAAGTCTTAAAAGAGCAACACTCTGATGCAGAAACTACAGAATCCAAACCACCAAAAAAGAAAAAGAAAAAGAAAAAAAAACTTCTGATGGTGGCATCTGACTCAGATAATGAAAATGAACATGCGTCGGTCCACACTGCTTTGCACTGTTGTTGAGCAGAACCTGTCATCAGCATGGACACGTGTCCCCTGGAATGGTGGTTGAAGCATGAAGGAACATGTGAATCTTTAGTGCGTCTGGCACATAAATATCTTGCGATGCCGGCTACAACAGTGCCATGCAAACGCCTTTTCTCTTTTTCAGGTGACATTGTAAACAAAAAGCGGGCAGCATTATCTCCTGCAAATATAAACATACTTGTTTGTCTGATTGATTGGCTGAAGTAGGACTGAGTGGACTTGCAGCCTCTAAAATTTTACATTGTTTTATTTTTGAATGCAGGTTTATTTTGTACATAATTCTACATTTGTAAGTTCAACTGTCATGATAAAGCGATTGCACTACAGTACTTGTATTATGTGAATTGAAAAATATTTTTTCTTTTGTTTTTTTGCAGTGCAAATACTTGTAATGAAAAATAAATATAAAGTGAGCACTGTACACTTCAAATTCTGTGTTGTAATTGAAATCAATTTATTTGAAAATGCAGAAAACATCCAAAAATATTTTAATAAACGGTATTCTATTAATGTTTAACAGTGCGATTAATCGCGATTAATTTTTTTAATCATGCGATTAATCGCGATTAATTTCTTTAATCGCTTGACAGCCCTAACAGTTACCCATTTTGTATGTTCAACTACATGTTTTGCACATGCAGGTTTGGTGTGTCCATTTCAGACACCTGTTTTGAAACATTATATCTTTAGTGTCCTGGGAATGAGGTGACTTTTCAGTGGAATGGGGTGCTGCTTACCCTCAGGGGCTGTCAGTGGATGCGGCTTCTCCACAAATTCAGGGATACTTTCTCCTAAAGGGATCTCAAAGGAGCGTGTCACCATGCTGAAGTACTCCACAGTGGTAGAAGATTTCCTAGAAACAACTTCCTCTGTTAGAAGAAAAATATATTAGTCAGGAGGAACAGAAATGTGTTTTTAGAGGTGTTTATTTGTTGTGGGGGAGGGCCCCCCAATGTCCATTAATTATATTGAAAATTATTTAGATCAGCTGAAACCCTGATAGAAGGATGGCTCAGTGCATAGGGCACTAGCCTGGGGACTTGAGATCCTGCTTCACCACAGACTTTCTGCGTGACTTTGGACAAGTCACTTAGTCTCTCTGAGACTTAGTTCCCCATCTGTAAAATGGGTATAATAGCACTTCCCTACCTCACAAGGGTATATTGTGAGGCACTCATATACTATGAAAATGAGGGCTATTTAAGTACCTTAGATAGAAAACCTGCTTATCAAAAGTCCCTTGAAGAGGTTTCAATAACTGTAGTTGTCATGCACTTTGCACTGGGTTTTAGCCTCCTAAGGCCTGCTTTTCGCCTGTGATATCTAGCCTGGTCCATGGACTGATTTGGATCAACCATCTTCTTCCATGCAGTCAGAAATGCAAGCATTACAAGGAAAGACCACTCTTTATGTTAGCCAGATTTATAATCTAAAAGCCATGACAACACCCTTTGAGGTTGTATCAGCTTCCAGAGACTGAAATGATACTTGCCTCCCACAATCTTGGTGGTCTGAGACGTACGTTGCATCTGGGAGCTGGAGACTTTAATGGAGTGATGTTGCTGGACCATGCTTTCCCTTTGCATGACTGTGGTTGCCATGATGAAAATATCTTGACTTCTGCACCTCTCAGTATGCGTGTGAACTTTGGTGGGGAGAAAGGGGAGACAGAATGGAATTCAGAATAAAAAAAAACCATGCCTAGCTGATTCGCTCAGACATAAGGCCTTCCAGTGCCATTTCTGCACTTGTATTTTTTCAGCAAATGAGGATAATGTTCTGTGGTGGACTATCACAGCACAACAATTTCAGCACTTATCAACCCAAAGGCTAAAAGGATAAGATTTTGAAATTATTCATTTCAGAAGGCTCCAAGATGCTGCCTTTTTGATCAAAATTAGTGAATGTAAGAATGGCTATACTGGGTCAGACCAATGGTCCATCTAGCCCAGTGGTTCTCAACCAGGGGTACATGTACCCATGGGGCTACATGAACTCAGCTAGATATTTGCCTAGTTTTACAACAGGCTACATAAAAAGCACTAGTGAAGTCAGTAGAAATTAAAATTTCATACAATGACCTGTTTATATTGCTCTGTGTCCTATACACTGATATGTAAGTACAATATTTATATTTCAGTTGATTTATTTTATAATTATATGGTAAAAATGAGAAAGTAAGCAATTTTTCAGAAATAGCGTGCTGTGACACTTTTGTATTTTTATATCTAATTTTGTAAGCAAGTAGATTTTAAGAGAGGTGAAACTTGGGGTACACAAGACAAATCAGACTCCTGAAAGGGGTACAGTAGTCTGGAAAGATTGAGAGCCACTGATCTAGCCCAATATCCTGTTTCTGACAGTGGCCAGTGCCAGATGCCAGGGATTTGGAGCAATCAAATTTTTTAATTGCTCTGCTCCGGCTCCGCTCCAGCTCTGGGCAAAAACCTACTGGTCCGCGCTCCAGCTCCGGGGTCCGCTCCAAAGCCCTGCCCAGATGCTTCAGAGGGAATGAACAAAACAGGGCAATTTTGAGTGATCCATCCCCTGTTGTTCAGTCCCACATTCTGGTAGTTGGAGGTTTAGGGACACCCAGAGCCTTGGGTTGCGTCTCTGACCATGTTAGCTAATAGCCATTGATGGACCTATCCTCCATGAATTTATCTAATTATTTTTTTAACCCAGATATACATTTGGTCTTCACAGCATCCTATGGAAACAAGTTCCACAGGATGACTGTGAGTTGTTCCTTTCATTTGTTTTAAACCTGCTGCCTATTAATTTCATCAAGTGACCCCCCAGGTACTTGTGTTACGTGAATGGGTAAATACAACTTCTTTATTCACTTTCTTCAGATCATTCATAATTTTAGAGTCCTCTATCATATCCCTCCTTATTCATCTCTTTTCTAAATTGAACAGTCCCAGTTTTTTCATCTCTCCTCAGACAAAAACTGTTCTACACCCCTCAGCATTTTCATTGCCCTTCTCTGCACCTTTTCCATTTCTAATATATCCTCATTGAGTTGTGGCTATCATAACTGCACACAGTATTCAAGGTGTAGGTATACAATGGATTTATATAGTGGCATGATATTTTTCTGTCCTATCATCTCTCCCTTTTCTAATGGTTCTTAACATTCTGTTCGCTTTTTTGACTGCTGCTGCACATTGAGCGGATGTTTTCAGAGAACTATCCAGGAATCCTCCAAGATTTCTTTCTTGAGTGGTAACAGCTAATTTAGACCCCATCATTTCGTATTTAAAGTTGGGATTATGTTTTCCAATGTGAATTACTTTGCACTTATCAACACTGAATTTCTCCTGCCATTTTGTTGCCCATCACCTAGTTTAGTGAGATCACTTTGTAATTCTTCACCGTCAGCTTTGGACTTAACTATCTTGAGTAATTTAGTATCATCTGCAAATTTTGCTACCTTACTGTTCATCCTTTTCCCCAGATTATTTATGAATATGTTGAAGAGTAGAGTACAGGTCCATGCGGGACCCTGCTGTTTACTTCTCTCCATTGTGAAAACTGACCATTTATTACTACCCTTTGTTTCCTATCTGTTAACCAGTTACTGATCCATGAGAGGACCTTCCCTCTTATCCCACAACTGCTTAGTTTGCTTAAGAGCTTTTGGTGAGGGACCTTGTCAAAGGCTTTCTGAACGATATTAACTGGATCACCCTTGTCCACATGCTTGTTGATACCCTCAAAGAATATTAATAGATTGATGAGGCATGTTTTCCCTTGATAAAAGCCCTGTTGACTCTTCCCCAACATATTGTGCTTATGTGTCTGATAATTATGTACTTTATTATAGTTACAACCAATTTCCCTGGTACTGAAGTTAGGCTTATTGGTCTTTAATTGCCAGGATCACCTCTGGAACCTTTTTTAAAAATAGGCACTATATGAGCTACCCTCCAGCCACCTGGTAACAGAGGCTGATTTAAGCAATAGGCTACATACCACAGTTAGTAGTTTGGCAATTTCATATCTGAGTTCCTTCACAGCTCTTGGGTGCATACCATCTGGTCCTGGTGACTGTTTAATTTATCAATTTGTTCCCAAACCTCCTCTATTGACATCTCAGTCTGGGACAGTTCCTCAGATTTGTCACCTAAAAAGAAGGGCTCAGGCATGGGGCCCTCCATCACATCCTCTGCAGTAAAGACTGATGCAAAAAAATAATTTAGCTTCTCCACAACAGCCTTCTCCTTGAGTGCTCTTTTAGCACCTTGATTGTCCAATGGCCCCACTGACTTTTTGGCAGGCTTCCTGCTTCTGATATATTTACTTTTTTGTTGTTGTTAGTTTTTAATGTCCTTAGCCAGCTGCTCTTCAAATTCTTTCTTGGCCTGACTTCTCATACTTTTACACATGACTTGCCAGAGCTTGTGCTCTTTATTTCCCTCACTAGGAGTGCTTTTAGCTATTTATTGTTTGAAGACTGGCTCCTCAACTGGTGTAAACCAGCGTAACTTGTGTTTTCAGCTAGATCGATTTACACCAGCTGAGGAGCCGGCTGTGAACATAAAATATTCTGCACTACTTCAGCTCTGATCATTTATTAAAAGGTTTTAGGGTGTGTCCCTGCAACCTTCACTCATGTAACTAGCACTTACTAACCAGAGTAATCTCACTGAAGCCCACTCACTGAAACAAAGACCGTTCTGTGTAATTAGGCACTTATGCCCTCATTTTGCACCATGAAAGTCAATGGGAGCTTTGCCACTGATGTGCACGGGAGCAGGAGCAGGCCCCTGATGCCTATTCATTGTATTTTACTCAGGGTATTTTAATCCACTAATTTTAAAGAGTGAATCAGAGAAGGAGGGACAGAATTTCCCTAAGCAAGGCCCAGAGCAGAAAGTTCGACTCTGGGTGCATCCCATAGCCTGCAGTAGGGGACAGGCAGGACCATATGCCTTAGGTGGAGCTGCAGGAAGCAGTGTGTCTCAGGCAGGCACATCACCTCTGAAAGGAGCATGTCGAAAGCATGCCCACTGTGCTACCCTGGAACAGTGTGCAGTAGTCACTTCCTCCTCAGCAGGGCCAGGGGAAGAGGCCAAACCCTCTTTATGCTCGCGCTAGCAATTCTCATACCAACAGCAGTGTTAGAGCCCAGTAACCCTTGCACTAGTGCGATCACAATGGCTATTGGTCATGCCCACCCAGTGCACAGTAGGAGTGGGAAGGATGCTTGACTCTCCCTCTGCTTGCTCAAAGACTGGGTACTGTTAACACCTTAACATTTTGTTTCCCTAATGCTAAAAGTCCTCTTTGGCAACCGATATACAACGAAGACTAGAACATAGATCCGCAAGTCCCCGACACACTCTTGTGGCGTTAAAGAATCATGTCAGAGCAGAGAACCGTCATCTGGAACCTGATCTCCTCTGACCCAGCTTTCCTGGAACAAGGACCTGGTCTGGTGTGGGTTGTGATTATGTGTTATACCTCCAGGGGATGCAGGGCAGAAGGCACAATCCATGGGGAAGGGGAACTTTAAGCCACCTTTATGACTGTGTGTGACCAGAGGCCAGGCTTATCGGTGATGTCGCCTAGTGATGAGGTCATTGGGCTCTCAATTTCCCCTCTCGGTCGCTGATGCTGCCTCTAGGCAACTAGTTGTGACCGGAGGCCAGGCTTATCGGTGGCATCGCCTAGTGGTTATGTTGTTGGGCACTCAAATTTCCTCCTCTCAGTCTCTGATGCCACCTGACGGCAACTCCTCTAGTAGTGGGATGGCCTACCTTTTGGTGGGCGGCAACTCAGCCCTCTGTCTGGGTCACCAATTCAAACCTGCCCCCTCCTCCCCCTTCGGGGTAGCATTGTCCAATGAACTGTAGAGGGCCTTGCATCCTTACAACTGGGAAGGACCCTCACTCTATCACTTGGCCCGCGTAGGTGGCTCATCCTTGCCACAAGGCTTTCAGCATGTCTATCTTCTCTTTACGCCTGGGAGGGGTGGAAGTGACGTTTATGCTCCTATCTGGGGGGTTGGAAGGGGAGCCCAGGCCTTCCACTCCACCAGGCTTTGACCCAGGGCACTATGAAAAGCAAACTATGACAGGCACCAGGGAGTGCCCCAAGACTGCCTTGCTGGGCCGCTTTCTACCATCCACCCCCGTCTGCAGTCTCAAAGTCCAACTTAAAGTAGCAATGGGGGAAAAGGGTAACTGATCCTTCAGCCCAGCTGGGCTCCGCTGGTAGTCCCTTGCTCCCCAGTGGAGGCTTCTGTGGCAGCTTTGGTCAGGAGCTGTCAGGGTATATATATTCTGTTCCCCCGTCTGCCCTCATTGTCTGATTCTCTTTTAAGATCCTTCCTCCAGTGGGAGCATGCTCTGAAGGTTGGGGGGAAGGGGCAGAGTCCCTGCTGGGACCAGAACTGCTCCATAACCTCGTCAGTTCTAGTGTGGGATTTATATACCCCACCACAGCATGAGATTCTGGGCTGCCAGTGGGGACAAGATGGCTCCCTGTATAAATGAGAGCCTTTCCAGGGGTGTTCTAATTTATGGCAGCCTCCCATGGGTTGCCTCACAGTCCAGAATCTCCATAGCATCATGTGCTAAGAGTGAATCCCCATCCTATCACTGACATGCCCCCTCCTACCCCGTCCCCATCCCCTAAGCCAGGGTGTACGAGGGAGGCCAGTTTAGCATCACTATGCCTGTACTGGAGGGAAGTCTCCCTTGGCTCCTTGTGGGTAGAGGACAGGTGGGGAGGCACAGTTCCAGCCCTGGTACATCCCCAGAGTTCCCTCGGTCCCTGTGGCTTTCTGTGTTCCACTCAGACTTCATCTTACTGATAGGATTTGGAAAAGTTGTGACTATCTGGAAACAACAAGCTTGCTAAGAGGGAGGTGAAGGAAGATTTCTGCTTTCACAGACCACCTTAAATGTCTTCCTTCCCCTCACCTCTCTTGTTCTTCTCTCACCCTTTCCTCCCTGGCATACAATATTTTTTGGCACAGGTGATGGTCATGGGTGGGACTGGGCAAAGGACAGGAGAGAGGAAATTCTTTCTAATACCAAACACACTGGGAAGAACCACGTTTTGCTCTGACTTACACTGGAAGCCATAGACGCCGACTTTTACTTTTTCACCCCCGCTTCGTCCTGAGACCCGCCCCCTCCCCAAGACCCCTGCTGCTCTCCGCCTTCCCCCAACCCCTTCCCTGAGCCTACAAGCAGCTGATTGGGGGTGCCGTCCAACAGCTGTGGCTGGTGAGTGCTACAGCCCCAGAGCACCCAAGGTGTCGGCACCTATGCTGGAAGCAGTTGCGAATGGGAGAAATGTGTTTATCACACTCCTTTGATCACCTCACCTGCTCCTCTGCCCCATAAGCCATACGGCTTGGGACTTATTCTAAGATTTCGAAACCCTAAGCAACTTCACACAGTTGCCATTGTTTAAAAGTCAACCTCCACAGGAATGCTTCTTCCTCTCCTCCCAAATGTGGAATTGCCTCTCCCTCCAAATTACCCTTGCCTGAGCCAAAGAAGAAGCAAGTTTCAATCCTGGGCCAGCAACAACTTTTCTATACATAAAAATGTCATTGCTTAAGGTCTGCTACTTTGCACAGAGCTTTATACCATTAGAGATTACTTGCTTCCCTGTGGGACTAGCACGAGCTTCAAAGGCCCAAAATATTGGACTTTAAAGATAAGGCATTTATTGTCATATATTGCTGCCCATCACCAGGGCTCAATTTGTACCCAGGTCTTTGAGCAAGAAAGAATACAAAATGACAGTGTAGGCAAATCCTTTTCCCTCAGGGGCAGAGATAAATCATGGGGAACATATATAAATTGGGTGACCCCACCACACAGAGGTGATTTTCGCCCATTCTTTCTAGTGGGATTACTACACCATATTTATTTTGATTGCGTCTTATTAAATATCTGCAAGTAAAATTGGGTCTTGAGAAATGGATGGTCAACACCATTAAAGTACATGTAACAAAGATTTGGTGTGACGAATGGTAATTTTGTGTCAGTCGCTGAAGATCAAGATGGAAAAGGTTGTCTAGTCCATCCTCAAGCTAGTGTAGGATTACTCCCTACAGTATATTTTCTACAGCTTTTTAAGCCTAGTTTTAAATGCCTCAAGCAAAGGTGCTTCAAGGTGGTATTTCATGAGGTTCCTTGGTTTTTAATTGTCAATCCTCTCACCCCAAAACAGTGAACAAAACAAAAATTTAAATAAAGCTAAACATGTCAGAGAACACTTTTCCATCCCAGATACCCACAGAAGTCATTTAGCGAATATCCAGTGCTTTAACATTACAGGCAATATTTATTCATGTAAAGTTTACCTTCTCTTCAAGCTGTCACGGTCCTGGTAGAGCCCTACTATGAGTTTTCAGACCATCAGTGGATCCTTCTGTATCCTTTGGCTGATGTGAAGCACTGTAGAGAGTTGCAGTCTCAGGAAGACAGCTGGGTCCCTCAGCACAGGACAAATATGGATCTAAGCAGTTCAAACTTTAAATACATACTGGCCTCTTGTGGGCTATGTAGTTACATCCATTACACTGACTTCAGCAGTTTCACATGCTTGGAGGAATAGGATGATAAAATCTTAAGGGCAAGGATGACTATATAACAAGAATAACCCGTCTGAAGGTCAAAGAGATGGCTTCTTGCAGCTTTTCTCAAGATATATCAGGGTGTGATTTCAAGATCTTGACCAAGCTCAGGTACCTTTTTATATTCAACTTAACTGTTTTATTTTGTTTGTTCTCAAATATAAAACATTTGTGGTCAGATTTTCAAAAGAATTCAGCACCCAAGAGCTTCTGTTAAGGCACCTAAATAAGAGACCTGATTTTCAAAAAAGCTCAGCACTCATCGAACAACCTAAATGAAATGGCCAGATTTTTTTAAAAAATGCTCAACGCCTAGCAGCTTCTGTTGTTCACAAATCTGGCCACTTAAGTGTCCAAATGGGAACAGAGCTCTTTTGAAAATGGGTACTGAGCTTTTTTGAAAATCTACCCTTTTCTATTCAGCAATAAACTCTACATTCTGCCACCCTTCCATGTGGAGTAGTACTTTACTGAAGGAATAGTCCCGCTGAAATCAATGGGAATTCTCACAGAACAGGGTACTTCTCAGCATGAGTAAAGGTAGCATAATCTGACCATTTATCTCTTTCGTTTTATTTGACAAAATAAATGCATAACAGCAACAACAACCACCACCACCTTAAATTTATATAGCACTTTCCATTCCAAAGGATCCAGACTAGACCTCTTGTTTGTGCTGTGGCTGAAGTAGCGACCACACATTGTTTATCTTCATTTGATGGCCATTCAAAGTGCAGTTAGACTGGTTACCCTGGATTTATGCCAGGTGTAAATGAGAGCTGAGTCTGGCCCAGGATGACTCTGGGAAATAATCCACCGTTACTTTTAAAAAGTAGAGGAGCCTAGCAAAATGAAGACCTGAATGCAAGAAATCTCCATCACTAGTTGGTTTCCAAAGGTCATCAGAGAGAAATGACTTGCATGCAAAACCTCCAAAGCTTTCAAATAGGAAATTCATGGAATATACAACCATGTGATGATTTCTAATATCCTAGCAGAAAGAGAAGATAAAAAAACCCAATAAAGAAATATACAGAAACTGAAACAATGTGTATTTTTCCACAGAACAGAAAAGAGCCATATGCGGGCATAATTTAACACCCACAGTAGTGTTTGCTGGATAAAAATGGGATTCAATTACTATAGAAGCTCAGCTCTGTACATTTTCCCTCACTCCTCTGGAACCTGGTGTTCCCACTAACACAGATGCCTTTATCAAAATGGAGTAGCAAGTAAACTGCATTGGTCCTGGTTTCAAATGTCTATGGTACTATTTGTTGCTTGCTACTCATAAATCCCTCAAGACATGACTTTTCACATTCTCCCCCTTCAAAATTCCAAAGCAGAAACAAGCAACCAAGGTAGATAGAAACAGACGAGATTAATACCATCCCTTCATGTTTGTTTCACAATCCTATTTAAATACTGTTCTCCCCATCTTTTCCACTCCTCCTACTTAGGGTTCTAGCCTGACTTTTTGTACACTCTCTCTCCCTCTCTCTCGATTTGCATGAGCTGTGCTCAGCATAACATCTGACAAGAGCAGGGGCAAATGTGGCTCTAAACCACTTTTCCATTCTACCAATCCTGGTGGTCGCTGGGAGTATTCAGAGGAGTCTACCAGCCAGGGAGGGGAGAGCCAGCTTTACCACTCCTGGGAGGCAAGGGGAATTCTCAGCTACCGTGTTAGGACAGGTTTATGGCTGTCTGAGTGCAAAGTATGCAAAGACAGGGCAATGAGGATCCATCCCCTGGTCTGTGATCACACCCTGAAGCAAACCAACCAACCACCCGCGGATAGTTAGCTGAAAAATATTGCAGATTTGTCTCTTTAAAAAAAAAAAAAAGTTTCAGGTCATATTTAAAGGCAGGATGAGAATTAAAATTGTGAAATGCTCCACCTCCTGGGGACACCTCCCGTACGCATTATAGCTGTGGCTGCAAAGCTCTGCCTTTTCCTTGAATTATTTTCATGACAGCTGCAGGCCCCATTAAGTCACTATAGCGGCAGTCCTTTGTCTGTAGAGGACAGAGCAAAGCTCATGGAAAGATCTAATTAATTAAGCCCCAGCATAGCCATGTGAACTGTGGTAAGGATGATTTCCCCCATTCTGCAGAAGAGTAAACCAATAGGAGCACTCGGCACTCAATACCTAAAAATTCAAGCTACTTAATTAGGTGCCTGAATGCATATTGAGTTACCGATCTTTGAAAAATCTGGAACGTTGTATAAAATCTAGGAATACCGCCCCAGTCACCTGACTCCCAGCCCTCTGCTCTAACTACTCGAACACATTCCCTCCCCTTCTTCTCCCTCGGATATGGGCAATGTCATAGGGTGACCAGATAGCAAGTGTAAAAAATCGGGATGGGGGGATAATAGGTCCCTATATAAGAAAAAAAACCCCAAAATCTGGACTGTCCCTATAAAATCAGGACATCTGGTCACCCTACAATGTAAGAACCCCCACTAAGCTATCCTCTCCTTTGCTCAACGGACATCTACCAATATGCCAGAGCTTCTTCTCAATTCTTCCAACCGATTTTCGTATGCACAGTCCAGGGGCACACAATTTAAGTATGCAAAGGAGAAGGATTAGAGCAGGAGGGGCCATGCAGGAGTCTTTCCTTTTGATCCCCGGAGAGAAGTACTGCTGCAAAAAGCCTTTGCCTTATAAGAAGAAAGCAGAAGACTTGCAGCTGCCCCTGGGACCAGAGGAACTCAAGTCAGACATAATAATAAAACTTTGACTCAGGGAAACATTACAGCTTCTCAAAGGAGAAATCTTTGTAATAAGACACATGCTGCTACAGGAATTCTCTATCCCATGGACTCAAAGATGCGCTGAAGTTAACGGGGAAGCAGAGGAAGCTGATCACATCCAAAGGGGACTGGCAAGACACACTCTAGAGGGCAGGAATGATTCCCAGAAAATGGTGACAATGAACATTTTAGAATAATAATGGTGCAGTGTGGTTCCTTGTTTGCATTCTGAGAAGCCTGAGCAAGATGAGACAAAGAAAAGCAGCACCTGAGCAACGCGGCTGGAGAGAACAAAGGACTGGAAGTCAGGATACTGGCATTCTATCTATCTTAGGGCTTTGTACAGCAGTCCATCAACATAGTAGCTTTCTTTCAGATACTATAAGCCATACTGCCTGCACTGAAACTAACTTGCTGCATAGCTCTGAATAAGTCACTTAACCTCTCTTTGCTTCTCAAGTTTCCCACCAAGTGTCCATCAAGAAAATGGACATAATGCTAAGTAGTCTTTGTTGGCCTTAAGGGTATGTCTACACAGACATTAAACACCTGTGGCCGGCCCAGGTCAGCTGACTCTGGCTTGCAGGGCTTGGGTTGCAGGGCTGTAAAATTACGATGTAGATGTTTGGGCTTGGGCTGGAGCCTGAGCTCTGGGACCCTAGGATCGGGGAGGGTCCAGAGCCAAGGGTCCAGCCTAAGACCAAATGTCTACATAACAATTTTTAGCCCCGCAGCCCAAACCCAAGTCAGTTGACCTGGGCCAGCTGCAACTGTGCTGCAGGTCTTCTATTCCAGTGTAGATGTACCGTACGTGGCCTGTGTAGGCCACCTACATGGAAGTGAACTTCACACCCAGCTGCTGAATTCCATTTGGAATGTGGAGTCTATTGTACTAATGTATCTGGAGTCTGTGAGGAAAGTGAACACCACCTTATACCGCAGTATAATGCACTCAACTGTCTGGGGTAGGGGAAAAATCCCTTCCTGACCTCAGAAGGCAATCAGCGTGCACACTGAAGCATGAGGACTGTCAGCCCTTAGAATGCTTTGCCCTCACAAGTACAGCTGCAAATGTTACTTTCACTCACTTGCATTTCTAATTCTCTCTTCAATGCCGTGAAACTATTTTTCTCTCTGGGAATTCTGAGCTGCCCTTTATTACCATATACTCGCATTTACCATCACAGATGTCAGAAATTACACACATATATTTAGGCTTGGCAGGGTGGGGAAGAGAGTTTAACCTCACAGAAAATATGCTTTAATTTTTTTCCAAGCAAAAATACAAAATATTAGTTTCATTTAAAAACACCAATGAATAGGACCCAGTTATGATTAAGAAGTTGTAAATGTAACCTCTCATTTTCTGTTTAACATCTCTCCCTGATAAAATTGTCACCAGCCATAACATTGAAATCCCAGTTCTCAGGCTTACAACCCAATCCAGATTCAGACATGCACCTCATAAGATTGTCCATGTGCAAATTACAAAGTCCCTCTGCTCCCCCTCCTGTCTCTACCTGAAACTGCAGGGTACTGAATTGGATAAAGCTGCTGTTTTCTGACCTCTTCAATCTCAAGCATTTTACTCTAAATAAACATCTGAGGTGTAGGAATAAAACCCAAAATAACTGGAGCCACTTCACCACAGTATATTCACCAGCTATGGCCAAGATTTGCGAAAGTGTCTAGTGATTTTGGGTGCCCAACTTGAGACATCCTAAAGGTGCCTGATTTTCAGGAAATGCTCAAACTGGGCACCTAAAAATTAAGGCATCCAAAGTTCATAGTTACTTTTGAAAATCTTGGCCATAATTCGGAATGCTCTTAGGTGACTGACAAGAGTATTTTGCGAATAGTTTGCCAGAATAAGAATAAACACAATACTTAGACCTTGATTCTGAATGTGCTTAAGAGTTAAGCTTGTTCTCAGTGTTCAGATAACAACAACAATAATGAGAATACCTAGCTCTTACATAGCACTTTTCATCTGTTGATCTCAAAGCACTTAAAGGATGGGAAGCATCATCACTCTTATTCTACTGCTGGGGGGGACTGAAGCAAGAGGTTTGGTTTGCCCAAAGTCA